TTCACTAGCACTGCAAATGTGTGTGTGTGTTTGTGAGAGATATTCAGGAGCTTAATGTTAATGTGCATCAGTGCATATATGTGAGCAAGCGTGTCTGCACTTGTGTGTTACATGTCATGGTTAGAGGAGCCAGTGTTTCCAGCTGGATGAATTGAGGCTATAAAGGCATTCTTTCTAATACGTGGGACGACTTGAACACATTCCACTGAGAAAGTTTAGTGTTGCACAATGTTGTGAAGCCAGATGAAGAAATCAGGTACTTTCTAAACTGGGACTGGCAGTGAGTCACAGAGAGCCACGCAGCTGATAAAGTACAACACCTAGGCATGAGTATGGATAAGGAGCCTAGCACTTTTCAAAACAAAAGACATGTTTTTTTCACAATAAAACCATTTGGCAATTTTAAACAGGCTGGATAGAGCAACAAAATAGAAACAACCAAACGGAAGCTGGATCAAAACTTCAGGTAAGAAAAGAGGAAATACAAGTCTATAAATGGGTCTAGAGAAGTTTTTTTTTATTACTATTATTTCAGCTGAATTGGATGATTTAAAAAAGGAAAATTCTGGTATTTTTCACCCTGGGAATGGCTATGCATTTAGCTGCAGCTAATCCAAATCTTCACAACAAAGGTGTTGAGTGCAAAGCTATCGTGCCCTATAGTCAAAATGGCCACAATTATGAGAATAAGAGTCAAGTTGATATAAATACCAGAATATACGCTTAATAGTGAGAGGTTAACAATTAAGTTTTTGGGCAAAGAAAGATGCAGATGCTCTGTCTCCTTTCATTTCAAGTTGAGCTCTGAGAACAACACTGGTCGGCCGACCTGAGAGACTTTAAGGTACTATATGGGCACAGCAATTCAGACATATACTTCTCTGCAACACTGGAGTAACACGCTCTTTGTTAGAAGATGAGCTGCAGCAGTTTCAACCATCTGCAGACAAGCTACATTAGCTGAGGCAGGAGTATAATCAAATGTAATCATCTAGTCGTGAAGACACAAATGCTGGGATTCATTTCTCAGCACTTTCAACTCAAACACTCATCTGGTTTGCTTTCATTTGTTACCATGAGCTCGCAGCAATTAAGAGTTAGAGGGACAAGCAGCAATGAGCATCCTCTAGACTTCTTTTGCCCTGAGTTTCCCTTCTCAGACTACACACGTTTCTTCATGTGACTACTGCAGAAACATCCAGAAAAGACTCAAATTTGACACTTATATTATTAGTATGCAGCACGACCTTAGAGGTTAAAGGGAGATTGCTGTGAAGTCTTTTCAGCTCTCTTGGGGCCAATAATGAGGGCCACTGTTTTATCCTCATTTAAATTGACAGTTTTCTATTCAGCTTTTAGTTACTTTTTAGTTAAACTGGAGTTTTAGCTGCAAATTCTGAGCTCCCGTTGTTCTCTGAGCTCAGAGGGACGACACATCGAAGTAACAGGTTTTGTGAAAGCAGGTTTCTCAGTCCTCACCCACTGTTATCAGTCTAATAGTAAATGGGAAATTCTTTTCCTATTGAGTTGAATAAAACACTAAAAAAAAAACTTATTCCATGAGAAAGGAAAACTAATTTCAGTCAAATGCGGCACATCTGCCAAGCCAGTCCCTCCCATGTGATAAGAAATTGCTTTCAGATACGGGTGAGCAGCATATGTACACACACACAAACAGCCAAAGGGAGGAGACGGGGGGGGGGGGGGTTTTTCCTCACTGAAGGCTGTCATTATTCTCTCTCTCTCTCTCTCTGTCCATGCTCACCTCCGGACGATGGCCGTCTGAAAGGCATCTCCGGATACAAACCATGATCCTTTTCAGTTCCTCTTTCCACTGGTTGGTGACCCCCGATACCCTTACCCACCCTTTCACACACACACCTGAAATACCTCTTCCACCCCTGGAGTGTTTCTACCTGCCACCATGTGTGTGAGTGTGTGAAGGGACTTTGTCCTCCAGGAGAGTGAGAACGGACTCACTTCCTGTGTCAAATTGCCTCTCACATTCCACACTCGCCCTCAATCCGCCTCGTTCGGGCTATTTTTTCCTCTTTCTTGCTCCTTCTCTCTTTCTTCCTCTCTCTATGGGGGGCTTTGTCTGCTGTTGGAGGCACAAAACACTGATTCATTCCATGAGTTAAACATGATCTTCAAGAACACAACGCTTTTCCGCCCCACACACACACACCATCACACACACTTCAAGGAGCGAGGGCTGGCGAGAACAAGTTTTTGGCAGTGGAGATTCACTATTTTTGAGCCCACACACAGACAGATGGACAGTCAGTGCTCTCATGAAGGCAGACGGATGCGCGCACACTCTCTCTCTCTCTCTCTCTCTCTCTCTCACACACACACACACACACACACACACACACACACACACACACACACACACACACACACACACACACACAGGCTATCCATGGGACATAACAGATGTCTGTGGGAAATTGGTCTCCCATGTAAAAATACAGTCGGCCGGATATGATGTCACAGCTTCAATAACAGGAAATACCCATAGAGACACAACACTAGGCATCACTCACCACAACAAACACACATACACATGTCCTTGGTTTGAAGCAGAGACGCATCTAAAGAAACATCTTGTTAAATGCATGTGAATGTGGGTTTTGTGTGTGTGTGTGCAAGGCCTGAGCTGCTTGAGGTGAGTCTTACAATTATAGGACTGTTGACATGTGTCTGTGTGTGTGTGTGTGTGTGTGTGTGTGTGTGTGTGTGTGTGTGTGTCACCTATTTGAGCAACACCTGCATCCCTCTGCGCACTCCTAACACAGTGTGTATTTAAGTGTGTGTGTGTATATATATGTGTGACACCTGTCGCCATCTGTACACTTAAAAGCAGATTAGGTCAGCTGGAGGCCAAGGATCTTTGGCAAAGACTGCAACTGACTGACCCAGTAATAATCAGTGTGTGTGCGCGCGTGTGTGTGTGTGTGTGTGTGTGTAGCGTTGTAAACCCCTGCCAAAACCAGTGCAGTACCACAGCACTCCAAGATGTTGACAGTACAAATATTGTGTCCAAGCAAGGAAAGGAAAGCAAAGGTGAATAAGGCAAGAAAAGGCAATCAACTGCCCTGGGGTCCCAGACCTCAAAGGGCCCCTAAAAATTGATTGGTTTTGGTAGTTTGATTATTTGAAAATGTGCTAGGGAATCTGCATCTACAGAAGATATTTTTAGGTCATTTTGTTGTTGTGTCTTGTGTCAAAAACCGGTTTAAAGAGCTTTACTAAGTTTAAGTTTAAATTGTGCTCACATGGTAATCCTTAATAAAGTTGTGTCCAATGAAATTACCACCATTACCTCCATTCAAAAATCTGTTCTGCTTATTGTGACTTTACTTTGATGTTTGACCTTCACGGTGCAGCATGATGTACAGTGTGTGCAGATTTTGACGCTGGAAGGTTAAATTTTGGTCTGAAAAGTCTATCTGAGTTGAGGCACCTTAGGGCATCTGAGCTTCAGACATGTGGTACAAGCTTTTTTGACATCACAACTAGTTTGGAGGCCAGTCGCTGTGCAATATGCACAAGTGTGATGTGGAAACTTGACACCTCCAATACATACAATATACACTCAATAGACTTCACAGTGAAACGGGAGACATATTGTCTGCGCTTTTTTGAAATGAGCAACACCCACTTATTCATAGATTTTTGATTTTTTTTCAACGAGATGTAATTTAAAAATAATTTTAACAATGTAATTGTTCTTTGTTGAGGAAAAATGTCATAAAGCATCTGGAGTGGATCCTTACTTGAGGTATAAGTCCAAGAGCAGAGTAGGCTACTGGTTGCACTGGACTTAATGGGTGGTGGTCAGAAGGGGCCCAACAGCAAATTTGACAATAAAGGAAACAAAAAATCATGTATTATAAAGAATAAACTGACTATCCATATAGCCTGCGTGACAGTCTCCTCGATTTACATTCACATGTAGATCCGCATTTAGATAATTTTTGGGCCTTGATTCCTTTTCTCTCAATGATTCAATGAGCCTCCCCCTCCTTTCGTCCACCTCCTCCTCATAGGATAAATCTGGATTAATCGGTAACGGAAGATGTGGGTGCGCTATGGGGGGCGCGTGAAGCTCGGTGTGGATGGTTCCGGAGAGGAGGTGTGTGTGTGTGTGGAGAGAGAGAGGTGTGTGGTGGTTGGGGGGGGCTCGCGCATTCCTAATCAGCTTCCCCCCTCGCGATTCCCGATGACATCATTCCATCCAAACCTTCGTTCGCGCACCGCATCGCAGTTAACTTCCCTGTTACCCCACCCACTTTTGCCACAAACACACATTGCCGCACACACAAAACTCCTGTTGTGACGGGAGGATGCCCCCGGTCAGATTCTGGCATCTGGACAATAAGACTGTCGATATCTGGCAATTAAAGGAACGTGTACCTCACAGGTGGAGATGGGACAGCCAATCATCCCCTCACACACGCGCGCGTGCGCGCGCGTCCTACAGCGCGACTATCCGGTAATAAAGTCGTTAAACCCGCAATACGACTGAAGCCCCCCAAATTAACTACAGGATGTGAGCTGGTGACACAGACACAACATACCGAGGCACCGCACAAAGACCCGTAATCAAGCTCAATTAGAGATTACTCGCTAATTACCGACGCACACACACAACTCCTGACTCGAGGGGACACAGGCCACAATAAACCCCGACACTGAGACACAAAGGCTGTGTGTCTGTGTGTATGTGTCTCTGCGTGTGTGCGTAAAAGCGGGGGGTGGGGGTACACGGGAGTCACCAGCCCCCCTCACGGGAGTCACGGTCGGCCAATGAGGGCTGATAGCCTATGTAGGTCGAGTGGAGGATTTCCTACTGATCACCGACCATCACTGTCTCATTAATGGTAGCGCACCGCACTCGCACAAGCACGCACGAACATGCATGCACAAAATGCCCCGGCTCCTGTGTGCTCAAGAGCTTCCCGATTAACAAAGGATCTGAGGCTCGTGCTTACCGTGGCGGCGTGAGCAAGCAGCGCCGTGAGCGACAACAGCCAAGGCAGCTTCATGGTCGGGGTGCGCAGGCACAGCCTCCCGGTGCCGCCGCTGCCTTCACGGGGTTCGGGGAGGTGGGGTGAACAAAAGCTGCTGCTGCTTGCTCTCGGTGTCTCGGTAGTCTGTCCAACTTCAGAGCGCGCCGCTTGTCCGCGTGACCATCCGTCCTTGTAGCCGGGCTATTTAATCCAAGGCTTCACGGGCTACTGCTGCTGCTCCCGGTCACCAGTAAAGCAGTGGGATTTCCGCGAGGCCTCTTCTCTGTCTCTTTCTCTGAGTTTTTGTGCTCGAGTCCTGATAGATTTACTACCGGGAGACGCCAGACCTCATCTCTCTCTCTCTCTCTCTCTCTTACTCTCTCTCAACACACATACACAGGCTCTCTCAACCCCCTCTCTCTCCACCCCCTCTCTCCGTTGAGGGCAGGATGTTCCGTATGGCGACGTTGCTTGGCCTGTGAGACTGGCAGGAGGAGGGGTGTGTGTGTGAGTGAATATATATGTGTGTGTTTATGGTGTGTGTGCATGTGTGTCTGCTTAGAGAGAGGTGGGGGGATCTCCGCGAGCAAGGGAGAGGATGCCCCCTGCAGCTCGTTTAGGCACCCGCAGCCCCATAACAGCCCCTTAAACACACACACGCACACGCACACGCAGACGCGCACACACAGACACGCAGGGTACAGGGCACATCGCGCTCTGCAGAGCATTCATGGCTGCTCCCAGGTTGTGCCTTTTTGTTTTACGCTTAGTTGGTTCCGGTTGGCTGCACGCCATTTTTACACACCTTCACCGATGAGCTCCGGTCTTCCGCTGTGATTGGCTGAGTCACGGTAAAACATTTTTTTTTTCAAGGAAAATGGAGATGAACTCACACCTGTCCTTATGTCACAAGAATTAATATTTATGAACTGTTCGCGCTGTAGCCTACTTGTGTCGCCTAGCAACCATAGGCCACAGTTGGGCAATCCGTTATTGCTAAATGACCAGTGCAGAGTGCAGGGCTGAACTGGAAATCAAAACTGAAACCTGCTAACATCTTAAATTGGTTGACACATGTTGGCTAATTCAACAACTAGCTCGTTTTAAATTGAGCTTGAAAGTTCATTATTGACTTTGGAAACAGCAGCTGGGAAAAAGAAGTCTCAACTCCAGGTCCTCTCACTTGAGGTTGTTTTCTTTTCAAACTACACTTTCTTTAGGAATTTAAAAATATAGGGTATTTTTTACACCCTACTATTAACTGTCTGTTTTATCATATACTCCTATTTCATAAAATTACGTTAACCCATGCCTCTTTTGGCCCTGTTTGTAATTTGGTTTCACACAAATTTCTTTATAAATACTGTATGCACCATTTAAAATTTGACATAAGGCCCTTCTGCAAGACAGCTCGGTAATAAAGTTCATGCAGGACCCACCCTGAGGCCTTGTACCTCAGTGCTGTATATGCCCAAATAACCTTGCAATAAATCAAATGGCCACAAAACAGCTGACACACAGTAAATACAGGCCTTTGGGGCTCCTGTGTATTACGGCCCAGGGGCAGTTGCCCATTTTTATCCGGTTGGTAATTCAGCTCTGCATAAAACAACAGCCTGCAGGCCTAATGAGCCTTCCTCACAGCCTAAACTTAAAGAACCTTCCAGGTGGTTCAAAATCCCCACAGGTAATTCACCCTCACTTCTTTAGGTATTATTGAGCAAAGCAATGGGATTAATGTCACCAGCATCACACCCAGTCTGACTTGTTTTTCAAAGTAACATCCTTTCTGTTTTTCACTACAGCCCAGCACGCTCCAAACAAAAGCTAGACAGGTATAAACAGGTTTATTTTGCCCTCCTGTCTCCTTAGAAGATAAAAATGAAAGACCACAAGAGGGATGGTGTGTTTTGATAAGATACCTGTTCCCCACCGCATTGTAGTCTGATAATCTCTTGTTGCAAACCTTTGGCTCATTATTCATGTTAAAAGAATAACAATCCATGTATCAGATTACTGTGTGGATTTACTTTTCTTTGTTCTCTCCCCAAACACCAGTAGCCTTTCACTTCTGCCCGGTGTGATGATGGGAAGGCTTTCAGTATTGCTCACCCTGTTCTTATCACACAAATAATTATCTGGAAAATGAAACCAGGGATGAGTTCTGAGTCTAATCACCTTTGCTATTGGTATCCATTACTGAAACTTAAGTTATTCCTTACTGGGAGCTGTCTTTACTGTAACTGATCGAAATTGATGGCTATCATTAGTCAGAGCCATGCCATGTTAAGGAGTCAGTCTCATTAATCAGTCATATTTATGGGGAAACTGGAGCACCAGGAGCGAGCTCCGCACTCCCCTCTCTGACTCATGCTGTGTGTAGTTGCAGTCGTATCACTGCATATGCGTTCATTCAGATGGCTGAAACAGACACTATGGCCCAGATTCTGAGACACTTAGTCTGTCTGCTCTGCGAGTGTATCAAACATACAATGAAGCACACTTGAGACAGGTAAATTTTCAAAGTTTTTTTGTTCAGTTTGGTTTCAAAATAAAGATCACACAATTGTTTAGAGACAATCTACAACAGGAGTTACAAAAAATAGTTGCCCAGGCAATAAGCATACACAGGTTCTGTTAACTATACACATATGGTTACAGGTGTGCTCGTAGTAAATATACACAAGGCTGCTCCAAATGTACACCGCTCGGTGGCGGGCTGCCTCTCTCACCCAAAAGGACATGGACAGTATGATACAGCACTTACAGCACTAGAGAAATGCCAAAAAACACAAGTATATCCTCTGTACAATCCATGGGTTTACCCCTGAAAACAGTCATGGATAACCAAGGGGTTTGGGGGGGTTTAAATGAGTAAAAGTTACTTCTCCCACCCAGCCAGCATACCCATACACATGACACATTTCATGGGGTAATGCATTCTTATAAAAAGATCTTTAAAAAAAGTTCCAAAAAAAGAAAAAAAAAGAAAAAAAAACCTTCAACATAAACCAGAAGACACCACTAAGTCTAACAGAACGTGTCCAATTGGGAGTCAGTGGGAGATCAACGTCTTAAGTTAAGCAGTGACAAGATAAAGATAAAACCAAGCGTGGCGAATCTTTGTACAAGTACTACGCTGTATAGAAAGGGCTTTTCAAAACAAAAATTTGATATTACAATTTACAATATACAACAACTCATATGTCACAACCAAGGAGGTGAGAATATACACTGAAATGCACAGGTTTTTTTCTAAGATTTTTTTTTCCAGAGTGAGCTTTTTTTTTTTCTTCTCATACCAAAAAGGGTGGTAAAGCACTTTTACATTACAAGGGTTTACAAATGTACAATTATACAGTCAGAAGTATGTGGTCACTACTAGGATACATTATAGATACAGATTCAACATCAAAAACCAGAAAAACTACAAAGTTTTATATATATATTTATATATATATGCAAAGGTCTACACCAAGTATACACGTTATATTTATAGAAGCAAGACCAGAAAACGAATCTCCCATGCTAAATGATCTGTCTGCTGGTTAGCTGATGGCATGTGTGTGTATTCGTCTATGATTCTGTGACGTCAGACAAATTAAATATTCGTTCCATCTCATAGTGGTAAATAGCTAGGATGGGAGGAGGAGGGGGCACTAGGATTGTGTATGCAGCAGTAGCAAAAAGTGAAATGATTTTTCAGTTTATCAGAAACGATGAAGAGAGAGAAAAAAAAAAAAAGGAAAAAAAAAAAAAAAAAAAAAATGAAGGGAGTGGAGCGATGAATAGAACAGGTCTCACCTCTCTCCACTCCCTGCCCTCCTGCCCTCCCTCCCTCGTTGGGCTCGGGTGGGGGAGGAGCGACAAAATGTGACAAAAAAAAAAAAAACTGAGGCAGCCTGTAGCAACAGGCTCCTCCCGAAGGGTTGTCATGGAAACAGGGGTACGAGGGGTACTCAACGTCCTCGGTGAGTAGGATTTTGAGGGGAAATTGGGCATGATGCCTTCTGAAGGACAAGGACAGGAGGGTGGGGCTGGCAGACATGACTCCATTAGGAGGGTGGGGGCGGGGCGTTCATGTGGTAGACATGATTTTGGGCAAGGGTGGGGGGGTGGGGGTGGGGGGACTGAATTACATGATGCCGTTAGGTGGGCCGCAGAGAGGACCCAGGTCAACACCGTTCTTCATATAGTACTTCTCCAGCTTGGCCAGGATGTGTTTTCCATAGGTATACTTCCTCAGGGTGGAGATATGGGGCCGGATCTGTGCAGAGACAGGAACACAGACATTTGACACGTTCAGCATACTTTTCAAACACACTATTTTTGGTGCGTTTTTCCCTTCTGTTGTGCAGTCGTCTCACAACAGAAAGAAAAAGAAAGAAAGAAAAAAAATATATATATATATATATATATATATATATATATTTTTTTTTTTTGTCAACATCAAACAGCAACACCCAAAATCAATGATTACATCAGCTTAAGTCAGCTTCAGTGTCGTTGCCTTGGAAACCATTGACACCAGTGACCTAAGTAAGAGCCTATTGATGTGAAGGTAACAGAGGGGTTGGGTTGATAGACATATACTGTTTTTTTCCCCCCTTTTCATGTACATCTTCAGTTTTTTTCCCCAGTCAAAAGGCTGATATTTAGTGCTGAAACAATTAATCTAAACAAAATCAAGACAATTGTGACAAAAATTGTTTGATTTTCTTTTTACAGGTTGTTTACATTAACTCTATAACATACATTTGATTGTGTTTTAATCTCTTCTATCACACAGTTATGAGTTAGTGATAAAGGGAAAATATTCAAAATGGGATATTAATTGTAAGATTGATGAGTCTGCGTGCCTGAAAATTCATTTTCTTGAGATACTTCATATTAAAAAGTATCTCAGCTGATTATGCCAATACATGACGACCCCGGTCTTTCCACCTACCTTGTGCATTACGATCTTGCGCTGGGTGGGCTCAGCAACGTCAATCATCTTCTGCACCACGTAGTTGGCGTACTGGTCCTTCATCATGGTGTATAAGGCACTGTGGGGGCCCTCAGTCAGGCTGCACACTTCGTCTATCAGTACCGCCCGTTCTGCCCGCGACGCGTGGGTCACACACTTCTCCACCACATTACTGGACAAAGAAAGAAGGGGTGGGTGTTTAAAGTTTAAATAAAAGAAAAGGGGGAGACATGAAAACCCACTTCCAAGTCTGGCTGTATATGTGGACAAACGAAGGAAAATACATTTTCGAGGGAGGGAAGAAAAAACAGCAACCTTGTGTTTGTATTGGGTTTTACCTAGCAAACTTGTGCTGGCTGAGCCCCAGTACGTTGCCTCTGATCTCCGCCACTATCTTGCTCTTATCCTCAGCTCGGCCATGCTCCAAAACGTGCTGGATCACATAGTTGCCATACTGGTCCTAAATAAAACAGACCACACAGACACATTAACTAAAACGTGATGAGGACAGCTGGTGCCTCTGACGTCACATCAAACACAGCCAACTTCAAAAATCTGGAGGCTCTGAGAACAGCTTTATATAAACCAACTTGAGGTGTAATTATTCTGAAAAACATAACTGGTGGGAGTGAAAAGACAGCAGTGAGTGCTCGTTTGTGTGTGTGTGTGTTTTCTGCACTCGCTATACTGGTCCTAAATAAAACAGACCACACAGACACATTAACTAAAACGTGATGAGGACAGCTGGTGCCTCTGACGTCACATCAAACACAGCCAACTTCAAAAATCTGGAGGCTCTGAGAACAGCTTTATATAAACCAACTTGAGGTGTAATTATTCTGAAAAACATAACTGGTGGGAGTGAAAAGACAGCAGTGAGTGCTCGTTTGTGTGTGTGTGTGTTTTACCTGCACTAGCTGCTCTGTGTGTTGATGGAGCTCCTCCAGTATAGGCAGCGTCTGTTCAGGAAGGCAGTGTTCAAGAATGCGCTGAATGACTCGGCAGCCATAAGGGTGAGTGGAGAGGGCAAAAACCTGAGAGACATATGTAATTATACATTGTTAGTCATTACACACACACACACCAAGCAGTCCTGGAACTTAGCAATTTAACCTTTTAAAATACATCATCCCACCCGTGGGAGGCTTTGGCCTTAGTAGAATTACCTCATGTGTGTTCTGGTCCATGCTGCACTCGAACAACCTTGACAAATTATATTTTGTTTGAGAGCTAACAGTCTCCTGATTATATCTATACTGTCTATCTGTATTTTAGGCTCCTAAGTGTTTACCACACAGAGAAAGGTACTACTATAGGCCTTTTTAATGCCACAAAAAATAGGTGAGGCAAAACAAACCTTACATTTCTACCCCGTTTGTGCCTCTGTAACTTTGGTTCAATATCTTTTATACTCATTTTGACCCTTTGGTTGTAAAATTTTAAGAGTTACCTTTCATAGGAGACCAGGGTTATGACTGTAATCAAAAAGACTGAAGAACAGTAACCTTTTTATTTTGGCTACATCTATTTATTTCTGGGTGTGTTTTAAAGGGTTAAACATGACACTAATATACATAGGCATACTTTAACAAACCCAGCCCTTCCCTGCAGGGAAGGTGAAAGCAAATTCCTGACATGCTTACAGCTACACAAACAAATCTGAGCCACAGAGTAGAAAACATGCAGCTACATAACATGCAAATGTGTGAGAAGCAAAACACTTACATCTGTGAGATTTAACATCCTGAGCGAAATCTCAAAAGTGAAACGTTTCATTTGTACTTAACAAAAGGTGCATGCATGAACGCACAAAATCTTTCTTTTAACACTTTATGCTAATGTAACATTTAGCTGGTAGATAGGAGATGGCTGTTGCCACTGGGCTGAGGTTTCTGTTGCCAAGGCAACACACCCCATCCCTGGAAAGGACTGAATATGTGTGTCTATGTACTTTGGCGGTGACAATATGCTTGCTGCCTCAAGGCAGTGACAGTGTATGTGTGCACGCAAGTGAATATGTGTATGTGGATGTCAGCCAGGCACCGGCAGGCTTCAGTGATTGAATGTGGAAATAATTTGTGTGTGCGCACATACAGAGGGGACCCACCTGTCCCTTAAAGGCGTCTATGATGAAGTGCAGCGCGTGAGGCTGGACGCACTCAATACACTTCTGCACCACATGGTTACCATTCTGGTCCTTCACACACTTCAACACATGGCCATCCAGCTCCCGCACCATCTCACTCTGCGGGGGGGGGGGGGGAAGGAGACAGAATGTGAGGAGAGGGACATGTAATTGTTTGTGAGAAATCAAATATTGCCTTAAAGCATTTTCCAAACTCTCCCTCATTTGTCACAGTGGCTCAGAGCCCAACAAGTAACACTCAGCTTTAACTGTTGCCCTAAAGAAATCTATTGAGGTCCATTAAGGAGAGATAGATACCTTCTTACCCTCTCTTTCACGCACTCACACATACACACCTATTCCAAAAACCACTGAATCTAAGTAAAAGTATTTTCTGGTGATATACAGCTAGATTTATCTTAACACCTGCAGTTCAACATGCATATAAACTGTAGTATCATTAGCCTCATTCATTGCTGATGATAGGGCACCTGCGAGAAACCTGCTGCTACACGAGGCAGCTCTAACATAACACCCATAATGTAGATGAAAAATGCCATTTCAGTGTGAGAAGCGCACCTCTTTATTAATGCAGCACTCTGCTATATAAATACAAACACGCTATACACTCTCATTCACAAGAGAATTATGGGCACATAGATAGTGGATGAGCTTTGAAATTGGGACACTGGGATACTTTGCAACTTTATTTCTGACCGGAACAACCAAATCACAGCAGAGTTATGGCAGATTGTGTTTTATTAAGGTCATTCTAGGGCAAAGGTCCAGTCTGTTTCCCGTATTTACATACTCATACATTCCAATGAGAACCAGTGTACTTACAATGACCTGCTGATCCGAAGGGATGAACTCCAGAGCTTTCTGAATGACCCTGCAGCCGTACATCTGCAGGGCCAGGGACAGCACATGACCTCGGATCCTCTCTGCCAGAGCCAGCTTCTGGTCCAGGCTGCCGAACTTAAACACACACAAAATAATTCTGTAAATCCTCTAATCCATTTGATAATACATGACACAATACCATGTACAAAACACATTTACACAGGCCAGAAAGCACATAAAAACCAAGTGTAGTGTGAAAGAGTAACAACATTTTTTAGATTGTCCCATGAATTCAATCTTGGTGACCCAAATCACACATAGCAACAACTTTACTGATAATGACCAGCTCCTCATACACACCTCAAAGAACTTCTGGATGACGTAATTTCCAAAGACGTCGACCATAAGCTGGTAGGCAGCCTGCAGTATCTCACTGAAGACAAGCTGGCGTTCTGCTGAACTGGCTCGCTCCAGTTTCAACTGGATAAACCTTTAAGAGACAGAGAGGATAAGTATTGCATTAACCAGATATCTTTTATATTAAGTTCCACAGATACCTTTTTTGGCGCTCTCTTGTTTTGTCATTCTTCATTTTCATTAGCTTCTGCAATGTATACAAGCCTCGGGAGACAGTGTACGGCCTGCTCTCCTAAAACCCACTTAGTATATAAGGGGGATTTACAAAGTTTAGATGAAGTTGAAGACAAAGACAAATAAACATACCAGAGAGTGAGAGAGCAATAAGGTGAAACAGATGTACAGAGACAGAGAGAGAGAGAGCTGCTCCTATATATTTAACCTGAGGGAACAGTCAGACAAAATGAGATGAAATTCAGGGTGGAGAAAACACAAAGAGGGAGTTGAAGGAACCAAGCAGCCTGTGAGCTGAAGTGATGGATACCAGGCAAAAGTCAGGAGATAAAAAAGGACAGAGATGCTGAAGAGACTGCGGAAAGAAAATGTCTGGAATGTGCAGACTGGACGTCATGGTGTATTAATAGATCATTTCAGTGGAAAAGTCTGCATTTGAGGCACTGCTGGTTCAACCCAGACAGACCCAGAAACCAGGACCCCAGAGTGGCCTCCAGGGCCCCTGTCACCAAATTAGAACTTATCTTTTCCCATCTGGTAAGAGATCAATGACACCGTTTGTTCTGTTGTCAATAAAAAATACTTGAGGATATACGGGGTCAAGCAGCAACTAAACACAGATTGTTTGTAAAAGGAAGCAGTGTGTCACATTCACTATGTTTACACCCTCATGCCTATTCAAAGTCTATACCAGCATAAACTGAGCATGAACCTGAAATATGACAGTGCAGTGATGTCTGCAGAGGAGATAGTACACACACAGGAATGTCCTGAGCGCTTTCACTTTGAAGCATTAGCAAATTTGGCCGGTTCACATTGTGTATTGAACTTAAAAGAAACACTTTGATCCAGCACTGGCTTAGAGGTCAGACTTTGTCACTGGGTCAAACAGCATACTTCCAGGGTTGCTCATCAGGCTTTGTATGCAGTTCATTTGCATCCAGAGAGAAATTCCTTGTGTATGGGACTGACTTGGTGATGTTTCACCTGCGCATTTTGATTTGCTGGTTTCTTCTTTGTCGAGCTGGAGTGATATTTGAGTGCGTGTGTGTACCTGCTGCCGTGCTGGTCCTGGCTGAACTCCATGATGTGGCCAGCGATGTCTCGGAGCTGCAGGTTGGGGTAACGGTTGTTCCTGAAGTCCTCCAGGAGACGGCTCCGACCTGATGGCATCACATCCGACATGCCGTAGCGTAGCCGTGACGACGGGAACAGCTGGCTGCTGGGTGAAAAGAGGGAGGAGCCTGAGCTGGCAGCGCTGCGGTACTTGGCCTCCGCTCCTGGGGCAGCAGAGATGAAACGCCCGCTGCCGTTGGTCAGGCCTCCTGTTGGGTCGGAGAGAATAGGGAGACGAAAGTCAAACAATTAACAGACTCATGAACTATGACCATAAAACCAATTCCATGCATATATTTTTAAAAAACCAAATGAAATAAATTTTCTTTCCATATATACATGCATGTTTCCAGAGTAGTGGGGACATGATAGTAAGATAGTGGCAAAAAGAAATGTCATACTAGTAGACACAAATTTTAAATTAGCTTTTTTGTTGGACATGGTACATGCAATTTATAAAAGCACAACCTTAAATTTCTCCCAGACTTACTGCACTGAAAATGAAATACTGGTGTAATGATTACTTGCATGAGTTAACATGCAAGTTTTTTTTTGTTTTGTTTTTTAAACTGATGACACTGCAGTACTAAAATTTTCAGACAGTATCATAAAAATTACATTTTATCTCTGCAGCACAGAAACACAGCACTGGATGGCAGCACTGCCTAAAACATGAAGTGAAGTTTCACTGAGAAAAGATACATTTCTTGTGGCCATAAAAAGTATTCAAATAATATAAGGGACACCACAAACTGTTGTCTAGAATTTCCACCTCTGACACAACCTTAACAAAACTGATGAGTTTCTCTGTGGTTCTTGTTGCAGGTTTTATAGATTTGTTTTGTTAATGACACTGAATTAAAGTAAATGCCTTGCACAAATACTTAAAATTGAAGTATTCTCAAGCAACATCTGTACCAGGCAGTAGATAAAAACTTGTCTGCGGTTTTGTTGCTGGAGCCTAATTAAAACTAGACAATATATAGATATTGCAGTAAGTGTCTTTACACAGTATAATTGTGGATATCATGTGTCCTCCCTTCAAAAAAAGGTGCCACTTACTGCAGTTTATACATGTATAGTATCACACCCCAAATTAAAATTGAAAATTGCCAATTCTAAATAATCCCTCACTGTCACTATGATGCCTCAACTTCACTGTCAGTTTGATTGTTGTTTGTTCTTGTTTCTCACACTGGACCTGAATGTTTGCATTACACTTCTGTCTGCCAACTATCAATCACACAGATAGCAACAAAAGTCTCTGCAGGTAATCACTCCTTCAGAACATGCTGCATTGCATTTGCACATGCATTTGAAAATCTTGTTTATCCCAACAGTAATTCATTGTGAGCTGGACGAGAAACATTTAGTAAGTTGAATTTAAAACTTCTCAGTATATAAATGTTAATGTAAACATTTACAGTTTTGGGATATACAGGGCACTTACACACATTTTCTGTTCAACCTAGCACTGAAAAATTACATTTAAGGATGTAAATTTGTTAACTACCTACCTAATATAATATCTGATCTTATTTAGGTCAATGTCCTAAATAGGATCAAATATACGATATATGTCTGAGTCTTTGTCACCAAAACATAAAAAACGACACTTACCAAGATTGAGGTTGGACGAGGAGCTGTGATTGGACAGGGAAGGTGGGGGTGTGAGGGAATGGGATGGGCCCTGGTTGGGCAGGGGCATGCCCACAGGGCCAGGGGAAGGACTGAAGCCCAAGGTGCCGTTATAGAAGCCTCCATGGCCGATTGGGGTGAGGCTGGAGGGCGTGCGTTTGTACAGCTCATTGTTGCCTGTCAGGGAGTCCCGCCTGGACCCACTGCCACCACTTGAGTTGGCCACTAGAGGGAGACAAAGACAAACTAGATCATCTATCCAATCTACAGGAATTGTGAAATGTTAAAGAACTGTCCTTTTCTCTGTTTAACTATTAACAGCTAAATTTTAGTTTAAGCCACTTACATTTAAATTAAAACTATATAACCCCAAAGAAAAAACTGCAAACTGTGTTTGAACAAGGTGTTTTCCTACCTGCAGTGCCAAAGCCTCCCAGCGTGGCCCCCAGAGTAGCGCCAAGGGAGGAGGAGGCAGGCTGGCTGAAGCCCAAGGAGGCAGACCCGGGTCCAGGCTGGGCAGAGCCTTGTGAGAAAAGAGAGGAGCTCTGGGAGGAGGAGCTGAGGGAGGATGATCCATAGAAGGAGCTCCCTCCCAGAGCGCCACCAGGGCCACCCTGCTGCTGAGGCTGCTGGGACGTCATGGCACGGAATGGACCATTGGCCCCACCGCCAAGACCACCGTTGGCACCACCTGCAGATGCTGCTGCTGCTGCAACTGGAAGAGGAGAAACAACAGGAGAGGAGAGAGTAGTGAGATGAGTGTTTTCCCTCTAGCTCAGTTTAGTGTTCTTTTCAAGCACTCAGTAAATAATCATACAAATTTTAGAACATCACTAACAATTCTTCACTTTAATGCCAGTATTAATGTAAACCCTAATTTCCCTTGATACTGAACACACTGACTCATGGGAACTCCCTGTAAACAATAAAGGCTAGACTGGAAGGTATAGTCTCATAATCTTTTAATTGCACATTCTGATTATATGGAACATTGAGACCATGTTTGTAAATACCACAATGTCTAATCCTTGTTTTGTGTGCCTGACACTCAATCTGTGTCCTGTTGTCTACAGTGAAAAACAAAAGACTCTTCTGATTACTGTGTTACCTGCTTGTGCTGCAGAAGGAGATATGATGACAGAGGCAGGGGCCATGAGACGGACAGGGCCACTCCTAGCTCCAGTATTGACCACGAGGGCCCCTGTCTGATCATAGTAGGCTGCAGGGGCCAAGACTGGGTACCCTAAGGAAGAGATAACAACAAAAAGGGACATTCAGAGAGTATCTAAACCGATTTTAGCGTGGAGCATTTCCTCTTGACTATTGTGTACATATGGGGGTTGATAGCTATTTTAGTTCAATTTCATCATCAGTTTTTATAGTCAACGGTGCTGTAAGAGCAACTGTAATTGGGTGTGTTGGGAGTTTTGCCAATGTAATAAAAACCAGTTTACAGAGTGTCATACTCACCAGGGACTCCTGCTGCTAACCCCTGCCCAAAGGCGAGGGCTGAGTTGACTGCTGCTGCTGCAACCAGCTGGTCATTCTGCTGACCCTGCTGGCCTTGGCTGGGGGTCAGAGGTCGCTGGTTGCCCCCAGCACGCATCACCTTTACAAAGTCAGAAATAGGACATTTATCTGAATTGCCATTAACAATATGTAAATTAATACAAAAAGGATGCACCAAAATCTGTTCCAAAGCAGAGAACTTGTGTGCTGTAGATATAAGTTGATATCATGTCGGCTCTTGCAGTTGATGTATACAAGAATGTGCCTACACACAGAGATACAGGGTGGCATGTAATAAACTGTCAGGATAAGAGAAGACTTCTAACATTAGCATAAGTAAATAACAAACAGCAGTCTCCTGCTGACTGGCTCATTATCTACAGTCCACAAAGAGTTTTCTGTTAATAGATCCAAGTAGAGCAGCGGTAAGGCTGGATGCACATTTCAATTGGCACATAAGGAGAGCTCTGACAGAAACATCTTGAGCCAGTGGCAATCAGCATGCCAGTTTATTGGCGAGCACTCGACTGACCTGCTGTTGGTTCTGCTGGCCCTGGCCTGCTGCCTGCTGATTGGCCGAGTTGTTGGCTGCAGCAGCTTGCTGCTGGAAAAGGTTGGCAGGGTAGACCCCCCAGGGGGTCACACCGTAGTACTGGGGAGGCATCACTGCCGGACCTTGACGCAAAGAAATTTGCAAAATACTGGTGAGATAGGACTACCATGCCTGTGTTTATGCATGTTTTTAAATGGTTACAGCAGCATCTAAATAGAACTCAGTGCCTCTCTCTTTCACAATAAGAATGTATTACCGAGTGTAGCTGCTGCTGCTAGGCCGGCCGCGTACGGGTCTGTCCCAGGTGGTGCAGCACTGATGATGTAAGGATTGGGCACAAATGCTGGGGCCAAACCTGACAACACATGGAGGGAAAAGGTGAACCACGGCCACAAGGTTTTACATAATACATGGAGTTAAGTCATAGAAACTCCTGGAATGAAGCTTCAGTTCGGGCTTGGGTGATATCCAGTCAAGATTCGTTAGGATTGTTCAACATTACTTTGCTTTGAGTAAATCTAAGAAATTTTAACTCCAGATTAGTTAGTTACCATGAGACTGCAACAACATGTAGTGTTTTGTAACTGCTGTGCTCTTTTGCTCCAAAATGACAAACTAAACACTGCAACACTCCCGGTGTTACTGCTGTTGAATCACTGATACTGACCAATGACTTAAAAAAAAATCCTGCAAATCTCACCTGTTTATGGCACTTATGGGAAAATATAAGTCTTACCTTTCATTTGATATTTCAGCTAAACTTACTTGTTTTTTTTTTTTATTCAAAATAAGTGTTTTAGACTATATGGGGTGTTGTGTAAAATCATGTTGCACTTTTCATTCTGTTGTAAAATGTGCATAGTGGTGCATAGCGGTATGTAATGATCCACCACATTCCCATCACTACTCAACTAATGTCATCCTTTAATTTGTGTCAGAGCATGCTGACTGTGACAGAATGTGCCAATCAAAACAACATACATCCCAAATAACAAATGATAAGATACATTTTATATTGAGTTCTCCTGCTCAAATGCCTGTTCATGTATATTCACACACACACTTACCAATGTGAGGCTGCTGTGCTGCTGCCAAGGCGTACTGCTGCTGCTGGGCTGCTGTTAACTGCTGCACCGCTAGAGCGTTGTTTCTCTGAAACAGCTGCACATAGAACAAAAGGTAAATCACATCTAAATGTCACTGGAGCAGAGTCTCTCTGACCCTGTTCAGATGTGGCATTAACATGCGTCCACACCTGTACTTAGAGCTGTGCACTTGTGATCAGATCACCTGAGCCAGATGGTCTGAACGGGTCCTCAGAGCTCCACAAAGGCTTTCAAACTACTCTGTCTTACCTGCTGCTGGTTAGTGTAGTCAAATAGACCGACAGTGGGCGCTGAGTCCATGGGCATCTGGGAGTTGTAGTCAAACTGAAGCGGCTCCATCACTGACTCCATGGGGTCCATGGTGACACCACCCTGTTCTACACCAGAGAAGTCTTCAGGGGGCTTGGGGCCTCCACCACCTCCCAAGGGTGTCAGGCCCTCAGCCCCTACACCCCCGGGACCCCCAAGCAGGTCACCCTCGGGGCCAGGGGCCGGCATGTTGCCTGGGGGACGACTGCAAGGTTGAGAAAGAAGAGTGGTTGAGTTTACATCTGAAGGAAAGATAAGCATTTCTCCAACAAGCCACGCGTGTGTGTCCCTGTATAAGAGTCCAGGGGTTGATCTTAAGGACCTCCAATCATCCCAGGGCCAGTAAAAATGGGAGGAGGGAGGATTACAGTTATTTTTGTGACGAATTTGGGATGAGAAAAAAAAAAAAAAACCCTGGTAACATTATGATGAAAAGAAACTGACTGTTTTTTTTTTTTATAGCACACAGTTCTCATTCAACCTCATTGACAACATACACACACACACGCACAAATTACACCGCCGGTATCGAGTGTCAGAATGCTGATGACATCCGGAGGTAGTGAGATACTCCAATTTTTTACATCAAGAAACCGCACAGCAGAACAAAACCCTGTACCGCCAGCCTGTGACCTTACGACAGCTGCAGCTGCAACGGGGAAATGGTAACAATATTGTTGTTTTTTTTTTTTTACTTGCTAGCTAATGGCTCAGCAGCCAACGTTTGCATTTACAGTGAGCTGACCCGCTGCTCCAACTTAGACTTAACATAAGCAAGCCAGCAGGGGCTCAGTGTGTGTGTGTGTGTGTGTGTGTTTAACAGTGACAGAAACTGGTCCCTGCCTCCGCTCAGTCCTCCACGTTTCTCACTGGTTGCCAACTCACAACTCTGTCACTCTGAAACCTTCCCATGATTCCCAGGAAGAGGTTTTTAGGTTAGTATGCCTTGCAAAGTAATGAATCTAATAGAACCTCAATGATGAAATCTAGTAACATAATTTTGCATTTTTGGTTGACATTATACGGGCTTACAAGTGAACTCTCAGGCTGCCCGAACAAATGTTGTGTGTGTTGTTTTATCTTTCTTAAAAGGTAACTTTGAATGATTTTAATAGAAAAACAAAGGTTTTAAATTCAGGATGGTCCACATTCATTTTGACACGGCTTAAGATTGTATTTCGGGATGGTTCTGGGTGCATGCTAAAAACAGGAAAGTCCTACCCAAACTCTTTGACATCCACATCCAGGCCGTTCTGCACAGGCAGCCCATTGGGGTTGATGACGTCGCTGATGACATCAGCTTCACCTTCTGTCAACTCTTTCAGTTTCTCTCCCTCAAACGTTGCCTTTGGCTTCTCCCTCTTCTCCTCCTCAACCTCTCCATCCCTCTGCCCCTGTGTGATGAGAGGGAGACAATAAATATAACTGCTACAGTGAAAAACAGATAGAGAGGTGCTGACAACATGACAATGATAGATGGTGAAAACACAAAAGGTACAGAGTGAGGAGGACAGATTAATATGGACAAGGTGAGAAACAATTCTTGTCCCAATTTGACAACCACTGGCTGACAAGGGACAAACCGTGAGAGAAGAATGGTAGATGATGTGTCAAGTAAAGGTTATCAAAACTCTGATGGTTCCACAAGTAGTTAGATGAAAAGTCAAGATCGTTATGATAAGAAAAACTGGAGAATGAAACTGATTACAGGAAATGTGCAATATTGTAAGTATTGAAGACTGTCATATTACAAGACTTACATAGGGTCCTTTTCGGAGGCAGGAATCCAGTTTGTCAGCTGGTGAGGAGGAGAGGACGTACTCCACCATGCTAACTCCCAACCCTCCACTCTCAGACCGCGGTGACATCACCGAGCCCACCCCAACTTCACCTCCGCCATGGAAACCCTGCCCTGGCCGACGGGACACCATGATTGGCTGAGACACTGAGTGATCTGCATCAAGCGGAACAAAGATTGTTAAATAACATTCATGCACAGGGGAAAACCACATTTGCATCAAGCATGAAAGTGATACCATAACACATCAGCACCATTCACGGGACAATACGTTTTTTTTTTTTTTATAAATTTCACCACACTAAGATTGCATCCCATTAAAGTCAGCACATATTTACCTAGAGGAACTTACAGGGTGACACCTCCGCCACTTATAGCTGCATTAAACAATAGGTCTTTCATGGTGGGGGTTTATTTAAATTACCTGTATGGAGATTTCTTAATTTTGTTCCCATTGTGAGCTAAGATAAACACACTCAGCACAGTCTTCAATGGTCACTTTATTTGGTACACCTGTACAATCTAATGCAAATGTTTTGACAAATGTTACATTTATGAGGCCTTCAATGCTCAGTGTTTGTCGACACTATCAGGAAGTTGTTAATTCAATTATATGTTTTTGGCTTGAGGTCACAGTTATTGATGGAGTTGTACTGGACTGCATTACATTGAGAGATGTTTTATTAATGTTCAGCCCCTCTCATGTACATAAAAGAGGAGGACAAATAATAGAAACACCTCTCAATATAATGTAGTCCAGTCCAATGTAGATTACATGCCCACAGTTTTACAAAAACATGGCTGTCTTGTACTATGCTACAAGGTTCAAGAAATAATCTAATGCACAACTTAACTACCAGAAGCATTTTAATCTACAAATGAACTCTTAACCATCAGTTTCTGATCATCATGCCTACAGAAATAACTGCACTGTGCTGATATGATACAGCAGAAATCTCAAATCACATCCCCCTCATGATTTGAGAGAATATCAGGGTGATTTCACTTTGACATCAGCTTTTGAGCCTCACAGGAAGCTAAATATAGATTTTCGAACACTAGAGTGAGTGTTCTGGTGGTTTCTTGATGTGCTTGTGAAAAATAAAAACTGTCATGTTTCACTGTCAAGTTCCTGCATTCATAACACCCTGCTATCTGCCACTGTATCACAAACGTAGACCAGACTGGTGTATACCTGAGGCACCCCATGCGCTGTCCCTCCACTGGTCCAGGAAGATCCCTTTTGGTCCATCCTTCCCAGAGTCATCCGTCTCCCAGAACTTCTTACCAGTTAGCAGCTGCTGCAGAGACACAAGGGCAAAGTGGAAAAGGGACATGGTAAAAATGGTTACAGGGGCCCCAGTAGCTCACCTGGTAGAGCGTGTAACACCATGGCCCTCCCATCTCTTCCCTCACTCTCACTAACATGATAAAGGCAAACATTTCAAAAACTTCATTTTCTATTAGAGTCAGCATCTTTCTCACTATAAAATGACCTTGCTTCCGTAAAACACTGTGATCAGTATCTTCTGGCAACAGGAAACAACTCTTGGTTGCACAGGGACTTAAAATTTGAAAATCAATAGAAACTGATCTGCTGCTTTAAAAAAAAAAAAATATTTCTAGATGAAAAAATAATAATACTGTAATACTTGTAATACTGTCCATAGCTGTACAATAAGAAACAATAGTAGAACTATTACACTAGACGACTCAACAAGCACAAAATACTAACAAAAGACAGACAAACAGAAGTCTTACAAAATCTGATACACATCATCTCTATGTTCAACAAGCCAAAACTAATTGCAGGCACTGGTCCAACATTAACAGAGTTACTGAGTGTAGATTGTATTTAATAAATGCCAACAGCCAATCCAACCAGCTCAAATTAAAAAACATCTCTGTTCAGTTTCCTTTCATTTATCAAAGCTTTCATTCTGGAGAAACAATGCAAACAAGTCCACACTACTTTTGGCTCAATAGCTTTTCACCAGGCAACTTTCTTCTTCCTTAGACTTCCTGTTATTCAAGTTTGACTCTGTTGGTAATCCATCATGCATCAGTTCAGCCAGGTGCCCGTGTGAAAAAATACAGGACAGCCATTTTTATGTCAGGTGTTGATATACGGCTTAATTTTATACCAAATTTAGACATCCAAACTGTACTGACATGTCTCGAGTAGCCATAGCCTAAATGCACCATTATCAGGAAAGGTATTTAAGCTACACAGTCACCGTCCTTTAGACAACCATCAGCTCTAATGTCTCACCTCTCCCATGGCGCGTCCTTCCAGAGCCAAAGCCTGAAAGTCGTGGTTCAACTCGTCCATGGATCGCACCTGCAGACAGAAAGCCCAGAGAGACATGACAAGCATGACACTATGTGTCTCATACTCAACCACTGTGCAAACCTAACCTAACCTTTAATTACCTGTTAATCGGTACGAGTAGTAATTAGTATTTGTGTTAATTAGTATACTATAATTAGTATGAACTTGCTACAGATTGTTCAAATTGGCATCAATTAAAATCTGAACTTTATTTTTTAACATTAAATTCAAACTATGAAAACTATTTGTTTCCCTTAACCCCCACATTTCCCATGTCGTCATTTCAATGTCTACGGCATTATTTTATTTTTACATAAGAATATGAGTAAAAAAATATCTATCTTTTGCAACACTAACGTAAGTACACACACACACACACCTGGCTGTCATGGATGTTGTCTCCAGTGGGCCAGCGATGTTTGCCAGGCTGTTCACCATGCTGCCGCTGGAAGAAATAGTCTACCATGGCATCATCCTGGGAACGTCCAGCACCCGCCACACCCTTGGAGACACACACACATGCACATTATCCTAAAATTACTGGCAACAGTAACAAGCACAGTGTAACTGAGCAACAACCGGAGACACGCAGGTGTAGTTGTTTATAAGAAGAAAAAAAAGCGAAAAGCAAAAATGCAACACAAAAGTGCAGGAAGAGAATACACATACACACAGACTTGAGCATGCTTACAGTTAAATACATGTCAAACATACAAATAAATCAATACACTGTAACTGAACACAATGCAGAAATTTAAGAGTTGAAAAAGGAAGATCAATCAAAATACAAGTACCAACCACAAAATAAGATCAAATCATTTAATGTTTACAGCACAACGACTCCACAGTCACTGTGCTGCTTTATTCTTTAGTCTGTTAGCAAAGAAAATGGGATAGCTACGAGTTCCTGTACTTCTCTATTAACGGTGGAATAATTCATCTGCTGGACAACAAAGTAAAGACATAAAAGCCCAGGTGGAAATAATCAGAAGTTTTCTGCCAGGTCACTGCAAACAATTCATTCGAACACCTTTTTCAACCTTATGACCACGTGTTTAAAAAAAAAAAAAAAAAGTCCAAATTTATCATTTTCAAAATTGATTAAATCATCATCAAAACAGCACCGTAGGCTGAGGTATTTAAACCCACATCCTCTCAAATGCGTCCAAGTAGGAGGCAAGCTTTGGCAAAGTTTCTGCTTACTTCCTCTCTAACCCTTTCTGAGGGTAAAAACAAAATTCCCCACAAGATGCTGTCATCAAAGAACCAGTCAACATGTACTGGAAACAACTGGGCTTGGTCATTTGCTGCACATGCAAAGTGTGCAGTAGAACAAGTTACCAAGACAATCTAATCAGCCTTAATTGTTACCTATCAGATGGACAGAATGTTTTTCACTCCAGGATTAGTCAGGAAAAATACTAAACTTGTTATCAAGTAGTAACGCTTAGCTGATGAGCCTTTTGTGTTACCTTACACATACTACTGCGCACACTTCCACTGTGCTGTTGAGGCAGAGACATTACAGTGGTCAGGCCTATTAAATTACAATCACATTTCAGACTGCCAAACAACTACATTTAGTTTTATTACACATTTTAGTGTGATAGAATGTATTACACTTAACAGCGTGGCTAGCTTGTCTGGACAAGCAAGGCAACTCTTAATAGGCCAACAGCTATTCTACTTAACATCAGCGGCTCTACTCGCCAAGATGATATAAAGACAGAGATTTGAAGCTGATTATTAGGTAATTATTACTAGTGTAACTATAACTATAGTTGCAGCAATTTCCCTACAAATGTTATTTTTCAATTAACCAATTCATACTCTATTAATGCATAGAATTATTACAATATATTAATTGAACAGCCCATGTCACCAGCACCTCACTTCAAACGGCTCATTTAAGTTTAGGAAAAAAAACAACAACTTACAATTATATGAAAGCAGCAACAAATCCTCTTATGTGTGAAGCTGAACCCCCAAAATGTTTCTTTCAATAGATAAATCACTACAAAGAATTCAAAATTCAAAAAGTAATCATTCATTATTGTCAGTTAACTAACTGTTCATCCATTAATTAACTTCACATTCAACTAAACCTCACTGTGTTTGCATTGACATTTCACTCCATCATAATCACAAATGTAACATGATCCTCTTAAATGTCAGACTTACGTAGCACGTTTATAATCAATTTAAAAATGGACAATTAGAGCCAGCAGTCATTAGTTAGACTCACACTTTGACCAAGCAAGGTCTCATATCCACAACAATGTTGCTTTGTTACAATCTGAATCAAACAATTACAGTGGGGAAACGGACTTCTGGTCTGTTTTTGCATCTCTATTCTTAAGAGCCACCCTCAGTTGTTTCTGTTGCAAATGTCATAGTATATTGGTTATTTTTCCAAAAACACAATTTTAACCAACTTTGTTAATGTCAACACAGCTTCCATCTACAATTCTACTCTGACAGAATACCAACTTCTGTTACGATGTGAACAGCATTAAAATAGCTATGATAATAAAAGACCAGCAACACAGGCTGGTGGACCATAGAGTTAACTGTGAGATGTTTCTGGAAGACATACACATCTGTCCATGAATGAGTGAAAGATGTAAAGGTGTAAATGTGCTGGGTATTACCTGCTGGCTGGGGGGTGTGGCCTGAGGGGTCTGCCCAGTTGGTGGGGCATGTCCTCCGCTGCTCAGCACCACAGGCATGCTGGGAGATGTAGTTCTATGGTGGGGGCTGAATGAATCCTGCCAGAGCACTGCTTTCCTCTTCAACACACACACACTGCTCATTCCACCACAGCCTGTCCAGAGAGAAATACATCTGTTACATGCAAACAACGGCATACTGGATCAATATAAGTTTGTAAGCACTGACCGGAACTTACTTAATCTGAATGGAGACCTTATTCTCAGGTCACAATTTTATTAGGTACACCTACCTAAATCTAATGCTCTAGTTCAGTCATAATCCAGTCAGAGAAATACTTCAAGTCAGTTTCAGACAGCTTTCATAACTATATCCCTCAATGACACATGCACAGAGTCTTTGTACCAGTGTGCTGCACTAGCCAATGTCTCAACCAATTAAATCACAACACAAAAAAACATGATCTATGCTCTATAACCTTACTTCATAAAAAAACTGTACTGACAGCAGACAAAATATAGAGAAAAACAAGTTGCTCATCTAATCATTTGCCAAAGTTCAGAGTCAGTGTCATTCTACTATAAGTCATCTATCCAATATGAATGAGAAACGTAAGCACATGTAAACTCATGTAAATGGAGCTCATATCTTAGCTCATATCTTAGTCACTTGTGAATAGGACCGAGACTCCCTCAGGCCAAACAAGAGATGCTAAAATATCTCGCCAAAGATTGTTGCTCGACTTGGTTTTCATGTCAAACTACACTCAGTTGCCAGTTTATTTGGTACACCTAGTTAAAATGTATTCTAATATAACTCCACTGAAATAAATCCTACCTTCATATGGGTTCAATTATTTCCAAAACTTTGTCCACTCAATTTAAAAATTGGTGGGAGTATAAAACAATATATTTCAACTACACCACAAACTACAGCCTCAAAAATAACAATAAAAATTTAATTAACACCTCTCAAAAAATATCCTCAACAAAAACTAAACTTTAACAGTAATATGAGGCTAATAAATTCATTTTAGATAGGTGAACCAAATATACAACTGAGTCTGGACAGTGCAGTATAGTGAACAGTGTACCCTGAGCCAGCAGGATCCAAGACTGTCACAGCAGAGTGCAGATGCATTCATCCCAACATATCCCTACAGAGGGTCTCTGTACTAACAACCGTCATTTGGTTGAAAAGGGTCTAATTTGCTACATTAACTCGTGTGTGTCTGTCTAGTTTGACTGTAGATCTGCATAGCACCGCACTAATTCAATAGAATTTAATGCAAATATCAAACTAACCTAATTAGATTAATCACTCTAAAAACCCAAAGCACATGATAAAGTTTGTAGGTTGCAGCCACATGAGGGACAGCACTAATATTAATCACACTGTAGGTCAAACATTCTATGGGCAAAGTGGTAGCCTGGGGAAACCAAACTTACTGCTTCCAACTCCAATCAAATGGACCACAAAGATTAAAGTTGACTTCACAGGAATTTTGTGAAACATCTCCATATGATACATCTCTAAATAGTATCCCAGTGATCTGCATATGGTGTAGGCCACTGATAAGTTACTCTTGTACAGACATGGCTTTAGGTGGTACACGGTTGCAGATTGCTGCTGCCAGTCATAGCAGAAGTTCACACCATTACAGCTGATACAGTACATCTCATTAGCCATTTATTATGTACTCTAATGCTAAAACTAATGCAGTATAATGCAACGATACTGTAATAAATCTTAGGTAAATTGTTAAAGAGAGGCCTTAATTAGACTTTATGGTCGTTGTAGTTTGGGGTGCTGTTGAGATGTATTGTACTATACTGAGAGGTATAATATTAGATGCAAATATTAAAAACACATCTAAGCGTAACATAACAACCACAACTACATCCTAAAGTTTACATAAAGTTTATTTACACCTACAAAACATAACTAACTGTTATTAATTGTATTAGACAGAATCACTATGTTATGTGTACCTAGAAAACTCACAACCAAGTGTATTGTAAATGGAACAATTTAAAGAGTAACATTATCCTTCTATGTTTGCACGGGGGGGGGCACTGACTTTATTTGCAAACTAATGGAGACAAGCTGGTGGTCCTTACTTTGAAAAGGTCACTGTGGCTCTGTCATAGAACCAGGGTATATTCAGCTGCTGTCATTATCTGTGCAGTGATAAACCCAAGAAATATGCAATATGTATGGCCCAATCTGTGTGGTGGTCGTGGTCAACAGTGGGCACAACAACCTCTGTGGTTTTCAGCAGTCACGGGGATATAATTTGTATTTTACAGTCTCTTCTTATCCAACAAGCTCTAATCTGTGTTAAAATGACCAGTTTCACATTAGTGTCCCTACAGGCCATGAGGAAATTACAAGAGGTTCTTTTTACACTGAGCCATATACAGTAATTACCTTTGCAAGAGACTGTGTGACACTATGAATCTTCAAACACATGCAGCTTTCTCTCAAGTCTACTGAAACCACTGTGCAACACACCCCCTCCATGCAGACAAAAAACACGAGCTGGTCAGTCCCAAAAGATAAAAACAAACCAGCTTGCCAATTGATCATTCACATACATGGTCTTGTGTTTGTTTTTCTCTTTCACTCTTCATTCAGCAACAAGGGACTTTTAGCTCTTTATTCCATTGCTACAGCTCGAAATCAGGTAGAGAAACACCCGGAAATCCACAACCGTGTGGCCATTCCCTAAAGCGAAGCGCACACGGCTTGTTATGCTACAAGTTTAACTCAGCACCCGGAAACAGGCACTCTGTTCCATAATCTAACTGGGTTAATCATTATTCAATACCGGGGATCAATCCACCGCATACCGGGCACAGACAGGGGTGTGACAATACGAGCAGGCAACCTGCAGCTAGCCGGAGATAACGTTAGGTGTCTCAACATAGACCAAATATTTCTCCCCTAGCAGACATGACATCAACATGAAAGGGAATATGTTGATGCTTCGTGTAAGGGGTCGCGACAATTACCGGGGGTTTCATTTTCATGCATCTGCGTCCACTCACGCCAAGTCTTGGATCTGTTATGGAGGGTTCACTGCCCATGTCTACCAACAATAACACGGCCTCCCGACACAAGCTCAGCCCGGGAGAACCGGTGGCCAACCACGGGCTCCACACAATGTTTTTAACAGCGGTGATGGCCCAATAATATCACAATATTGTTTTTAATACACACCTGGGTCTCTATCAGTATGCCGAGCCTGCAGCCCCACAGGTCCCCGTGACGCGGATGCTAACAAAGGCCCGAGAGCTGTCTGGAGCGGAAGACCGACACAACGGGAGGAAGGAGGCAGGCAGCAGAAAGGGAGGCAGTTCACTTCAGCCTTACAAAATACTCCTGTTTAAACCCTTTCAGAGCTTCCATAGCAACAATACCGGCACCGATGCGCGGATAAACAATGTCCCGTGGTACCGCGACCGCGGAATAGATAATACTCACCGGCGGAGAGGGTGGATGGTCGCGGATTTCGGCCCCAGTTTCTCTGTGACACCCCAGGCTTTCACTCCGACAACATGGCGGCTAGACGGAGGAGCAGGCAAGAGCGCTGCATGATGGGAAGGGATGAGAGAGAGCGTGCGGTTCATTGCGCCAACCGGGAGGGGAGGGAGGGTCATACCGGACCGGTCCCTTTGTTATGTGTGTGTAGTCTATTTGTATTATGGAGTGTATTTATAACGGATTTTGTTTTGACCTTATTCACATATTTGTCAATGGAGGAAAAAAAAACGTTTTTTTCAGTTGTAGCCGTTTGTGTGACTGGAATGGCCGACATCACTAAAATCAACTACAAGAAATTAATAAATTGCAGTACAAATATCACAAAATATGATTAAATTTTAGCACATGATATCAATGTCACTTCTAGTAAAATAAAAACTTTAAATGGTGTCGCTATCATCGTTAATATGCGGATATAAAGTGATTTTGACGGGAGTGGACTGTACACAATGTACCAGGGTCTCTACGGTAACGGGGTGCTTGGCAGCCATGGCAACGTGCTGCGCCACACGGTCAGAGAATGTGTGTCTGCTGGTTGCTCCGTTACACCTCCGGGATGTAAGTGGACGGTGTGAAAAAGGGGAGCGTGTGGCCCAGATAACAAAAATACCCCGGTGGCTTTTTGGAAATGTGCCAGTGGTGACCCCAAGCTGCGGCTGCAGACCGGAGAGAAGTCCTGAACCGATGTGTGAATGACGTAATGTGGATACAGCAGATTATGGCTGTCCTTTAAATAGAATATATGGTAATGATATGGAAATTTATAGGATAAACCTCTAAACATACCTTTATGGTTCAGTCATACTGTATTAAACAGCGTGTAGCTTATAAAATACGCATATGAGGTCATACTCATATACTTTTATGCTCACATAAAAGTTGAAACGAGATTATTATGTATTGTTCAATTTTAATATCATTTGTTGTATTATGCTTTGTTTGTTGCTGGCAGAAAATTTTGCTACAGACTAATTATTTTAGTTTTGGAGAGGCAGGAACAGCATGTTTTATTTAAGCACGCCACTGATTGTTATTGTGAAAATTGCAATAGTAATACCCTAGGTGTAATGGTGTTATAAATCATAACAGCAGCAATGATAGTAGCAGGACCAATTATTATTAATAGTAATAATAATAATGAGTGTTATGGTGGCAGATCTGGATCCTGCAGCCCCAGAGTCAGAGATAACCACAGAATAAGAACAGGGAGCGAGATACAGAGAAGAGAAGCAAAAACTACAGAGAGAGTAAATACAAAGTTAATGACGTGTAGTAGTATGATATAAATGAATGTGGGGAGAGAGAGGGAGAGAGAGAGAGAGAAAATAAGTGCTCAGTACATCATGGGAAAAGCCCCAGCTGTCTGGGCCTATATCAGCATAACTAAGGGATGGTTCAAGGCTCACCTGATGGTGCCTGACAATTAACGGTTTTGCAGGTGAGGATTTTAAATTTTATTCTGGATGTTAGAGGGGGCCAATGCAGTGAAGATATGATCTCTTTTCCTAATTCCTGCAGTACTCAGTAGTAAATGCTGCAGCATTTTGAATCAGCTGGAGGCTTTTTAAACAAGTTACTGGGACATCCTGATAATAAAGAGTTATAGTAGTCCAATCTAGAGGTAACAAATGTATGGAGTAGTTTTTCAGCATCCTTTTGAGTTAGGATGTTTAATTTTTTTGCAATATTGTGCAGGTGGAAGGAGGCTGCCCCAGAGACTTGTTTGATGTGTCGAGTTATGAAATGCCCTGGTCAAAAATTACTCCAAGGTTTCTCACTGTAGCACAGGAGGCCGAGGTAATGACATCCCAAAGTAACTATATTGTCATATAACATATTTCTGTACAATAGCTTCATTTTTTTTCTGAATTTAGAAGTAAATAATTGCTGGTCATCTGGCCTTTATATCTTTAAAAAATGCCTGTAGTTTGACAACCTGATTAGTTTCATCTGGCGTCATAGATAAATACAGCTGGGTGTAATCTGTGTAGCCATGGACATTTATGTGGTACTTTCTGATAATATTCCCTAAAGGAAGCATATATAGGGTGAAAGGTATTAGTCCTGGCACAGAACCCTGTGGGACTCCATTACTTATTTTTGTGTGCAACATGTAACAGTCATTGTTAACTTAAACAAACTGGAATCTATCTGATAAGTATGGCTTATACCAACCCAGTGCAGTTCCTTTAATCCCAATGACATGTTCCAGTCTCTGTAATAAAATCTTGATGGTGTCAAAAGCAGCACTAAGATTTAATAAGACAAGTATAGAGATGAGTCCATTGTCCGAGGCCATGAGAGAATTGGTAATTTTCACCAGTGCTGTTTCTGTGCAATGATGGACTTTAAATCCTGATTGAAAAACTTCAAACAAACCATTCCTAAATGAAAATAATCACATAACTGGTTTGCAACAACTTTTCTGAAGATTTTACAAATAAAGGGGAGGTTGGATATAGGTCTGTAATTGGCTAAAACATCTGGATCAAGAGGATTTTTAAGTAGAGGTTTAATTACTGCAACCCTAAAAGCCTGAGGCAAATAACCTGGCTACAGGGCTGAACAGAAAGCTGGGGTTGTTCTTGTTTTCTTACATTAGCGATGAATAATAGGAGGTTCTGGCACCATGGAGGGCATTTTGTATGTTAAGCCTTGTCAAGCCTTGTGAAATTCTTCTATATTGATAGAAAACCACTTCCTTTCCAGTTTTTGTGAAGTCTGCTATAGAGCATGCGTTTGTGAATCGTACCACAAAGTTAACCTCCTCTGTCTCACTACCTTCTTTTTCAGAACGGCAACAGTGTTGTACACAGTGAGGCTGCAGCACTATCAACAGGATCATCAACTTGTGTCGGTGTTAGGTTGAAGAGCAGTCCTCCATTGTAGTGACACATGGCAGCGGACTAAACAATGGGATTCTTTCTTTAAATTTGGTTACAGCATTTTCAGATAGACACCTACTGTAATGGAACATTAATAAAAATAGTCAGGCAAAAGACGGTTTTGTGGAAATATTATTAAATGTTCGATTCCTATGCCATATATCAACCCAAGATCAAGGGTGTGATTAAAGCAGTGAGTGGGTTCATTTACATGTTGAGAGAAGCCAATTGAGTCTAGGCTGTCACTATCAACATCTACGTAAATGTTGAATTGAAATGATTTCATTAAATCAGTGTGATGATCAGTTATCAGATCATTGACTATGGGATTTAGATGAGAGTGATCTAATATCTAATAGTCCACATTTAATTTTCATATTTTATTGGTTTTGTTAAAGTAGTTGTTTTCATTTTTAATTAGATTTTTATGTATCACCCCTCATCTGTTTACTTTTGATTTAATAAATTCAGGTGATCGGGGGCAGACACAGATTCTATGGGGTTTATGGGAGGTGACTGCTCTAATAGCAGTGCAGAGAAGCGTGTAAGACTGCAACTCTGCCTCCTGGTCTCAACTCTGGGTTGTCATGGTTTTTAATTTCTAAAATTATGAAGAAAACAGTAACTCATTTTATTAACACAGTGCTATACTTTTGTCATGGTGGATGATCTATGAAATTATTTTGACAATCAAATCTTCACTGTAGAGTATCAACTTAATACCATTAAAATGAACTGAATATAAAGCATCACAAGCAAGTCCCTCTATGAGTATCATAGTGCTATTTTTGTAATGGTGTCGAAAAGTGCATCACATTGTTTTCACAAATCAAATCTTCATTGTACAATATCAGCTCACCAGAGTGCATCACTTGTATAATCTACTAAACTAATCTGGCAAAAAAAAAATGTAATTCTGTGCCTCATAATCCCAATATTAATGTAATGTAATCAAAACGAGGAATGAAAGCACTCAATTTATTAAAGATGAAGTCACTCTCGGTGGGACAAATGTGTGTCTACAGATGACAACAGAAGTCATATTTAATGTAGAAAGTGTATTTTTATTATTTCAAACACTCGATAAGGTCTTCACCTCATACCTGTCCCCCTCCTTCCCTCTTCCTGTCTTCCATCCGAGCTACAAAAACTACTCAGAGCATGTCACCATATTTTCCTCTCCTTTATTGCCACACTCCAGTGGAGATCAGCGAGTGAGCTGCAGGGGTGTATGTAGTTAGTGAGCAAGATGATGGGCAGAATTAGCTGGAGATGGGTTAAAAGATGGCAGCATGAGGATATCCAAAAAGAGAGAACAAGAGAAAGAGGTATGAAGAAAAACTTTGATGTGTACCCCTCTCCCCCAGTCCCACCCACCCCCTAATGCAACCCCCCTTTTCTAAATGTAACCAACAAAACAATCATTGGCTGGTTATTTACATGCACAGTATCCCCGCTGCCCCCCCCCCCCCCATAACACACTAATGCCTGATCCCAAAGCCATCTGCATCTCTAATGAACTGTATCACATGTACAGTAGGCTGAATGTGTTTTCCTGAAAAACTAAATATTCTAGCACTGGACATCTGACTTGATTTTTGTAGTATCCCAGACACACACCCACAGCTGAAAATAGTCCCCAACAAATGCACTATTTGCTGTTGTTTGAGTGGTATTGCTCAAAACTGTTTTAGAAATGATTTTGTCTTTTTTTTTTTTTAAATGAAAGAATATTTCTGTGACTCCTTTTCTTTAAGATTTATGTCTCCAGGAGTAAATGGGTTTGAGGCTGAGAGACTCAAACAATCTGTGAAAGGTGGAACATATTGAGAGACGGACAAACAATTGTTGGTTTTGGTCATTTCATGGGATTTTTTTTTCCAATAATAAAATATATAAAATATTGCCATTCTGATCCTTTAAGCAGTTCACCCTTTCCACTCCACTAGCTCTGCTTTATTACCTCACCAGGCCCTGGCTGTAACATAAAAAGCTTGAAAGTCAACGGTGATTTTAACGGCACGGGGAGAGGGAAAGATGGCTTTGGGAACGGGAATCATAAGACTGCTCTAGTTTGACATCACCACATTCTAAAACGACAACAGGTACGAGCCGTGCCTCTTTTTATTATGACACCCCACCCACATCCCCACCCCCACCCCCACACAGTCGCGCGCACACACACACACTAGCACCCCAAAAAACAAAACTCATGACGGCACTGAGTGGTAAGAGTCCAGGGTGCAACCACAAAGCACCATCTAGTCCTGTGGAGTTACATAGTCACACACACACACACACACACACACACACACACACACACACACACACACACACACACACACACACGAACACACGAACACACTTGTGGGAGTGTTGAGAGCTGGCAGTTTAGTGAAGTGTGTCCTCGGTGATTTGACAGAGGTGTCCCCAGCTCTTGTTCTCTGTATCTCCCCTCCCCTGCCTCCTGCTTCTCCTTCATCTTCTCACACCACCTGGCATGCTGGTTCTTCCCTGAGCTCTGTACATTCTAATCAGGGCTGTATTTCTCGTTCTCAGACACAAGCACACATGCACAAACACACACACACACACACACACACACACACACACACACACAGACGTCTCTCCCTCTGGGTGGGGTTAAGTCCATTCCTCGGGTAAACTGTGACACACAGAGTGAGTGTAATCAGGGCGACCGCCGATTTCCATCCACAGTGACGCCGTCAGGGTTTGGCCTGAAGGGGGCGCTACCAACAATTAACCAGCCCTTGGATGCAGAGGGGAAGAGATCAAGGGGAATTCATATTGTCAGACATCAATGTTACAGTATAGTGCACTTTGATATAACTGCATGAAAGGGGCACTTGTTATTGCAATACTGTGAAAATAATTTGTTACAAGTTTTACAGAAAATCTGTGTATAAAAGTGTGGGTGTGGGATTTTAATGAAGTGAGCATTTATGTAAATGTTTGAACCAGTTTTTCTGAAGCTTGACCCTAACTAGGGGCTAAAAGCCAGAATATTTCAGCATCAATTCTGACCATTTTTTTTTATTTTCTGTCTCTTGTGAGTGCTGAAAATTTATGGAAATGTAATACTAAATTACTGTAGTACTCCCTGTAAGAAGACTATTCAACATTAAGATCAAAAAGAAGGAGCAGGAACATGAAGAAAGATATATTTGTAACTCACGTGTAAAGAGGCTGCAGTTGCAGATGAGAGGACTTCTGAGGAGGCTGGTAGCCGTAAGAGTCAAAACCACCAATGAAATCAACTTCAAAAGGAGAGAGAAAGAGAAGAGATGACATCATTCCACTTTCACTTAAATTCGTTTTTCTTTTTCTTTTTTTTTTTACAGTGTTGTATTTCAAGATGGTATCATAATGCTTTAATACACCTTTATAACACTTTACACCCCCTGTTACATCAGAATGTGCAGAGATGCACCAATGCATCATCTTTCTCGCTGCTTCTATGTCATTGATACATTGTTCTAATCTTTCTCAATCAATTCGGAGCAACAGACTTATTCGGTGCCAAGTGAAAAAGAAAATTGTCCAGCTGTTGCAAGATCTAACATTTAAATTTTTACCTTTACCTCTTTCATGATTTGTTTTCATTTAGAACATGTTACACATGTAATATAATAAACTGGTGCAAGTGTTAATTAGTTAGACAGGTAAATCAACCAGGCTGAAATATTGGCCATTATTGGCTAATTGCAGATATATTGGTATCTGGTGTATATGTTGACCCATAAGTAGCAAGAAATGTGTTGCCATTACATACTTTATCCATCAGGCAACACTGATGGTTTTACTGATATTTTCCAAGTGTCTTTCTATAAATATTTTGATCAAATTTTTTTAAAACCAATCTAATGGATACTTGTTTGTTTATATTATGTTTTCTTATAAAGAAAACATTAACACAAGTCAATATATTATTATCATATCCTATATTATCATATATCATAACTGATATCCATCAGGATGTATTATTAATGTACCATGTGTGATTGGTATATATCCGTGGTCTGTTTTGAAAGAGTTTATTCAGAACCATCTGTAATGTGATTCAAAACTTTTGATTTATTTTCCATGGCTATGTGGTTTGACTAAATCAAAAAATTGATTGACACAGCCACAACTTAACCTTATCATTACCCGTTTTAATGTTGTGGCTGATCAGTGTATGTTATGACATGCATTTAATCCTGACTGAGCATGCTGTTAAGACATCACTGACACAGCATGCCCTTGTTTTCACAGGAAATCAGACTTATGGTGTCATATTGTAATTATGGGGACTTAATTTCCTCCCCTGAGTGAGAGTAAAACACTCACGAGAGGCACATGAGGAGAAGAGCCATTCAGACACACAGATGGCACACCCAGGCTGACAGTCAAGCGCTAGCAAGCAGACAGACGAACACTCTGACGGTGGGAATATTCCGGCAGACATCTCTAAAACTCCCCACAGATGGAGTGCTAAGATCACCCAGAGGGAATCCTCGGCGGTGATATTGTTCACCATGACTCAGGCAGGAGAAAACAATGAGCTCACAGCACTTGCATCCAAAGCCACGGATCGTTAACACAAAAGCCCTCTCCACGATTACGACAAAAGTAAACCTAATGTGCTGGACAAGGCACTAGAAGAGAATCAACAAGATTTTAGGAAAAGCAAAAGTACTCACAGCTGTCCTCGTCATCCTGGAAGACTTTGCTCACGTAGCAGGCGTATACGAAGCCAAAGAGCTGTTAGAGAGGAGATGGTCAGAAATAAGACGATTGTTGTTGTTGCAAATTTTTTTGTTTGTTACATTGTTCATAAAATGTTAGTTGTGTGTCTGTGTGATACTGTAATAAAGCCAAATGGATGTAGTAGGAATACACTGTATGATAATTTGTAGAAGTGTGTGTGTCAGGAAACGTACAGCCAACAGGATCTGAATGGCTGAACTCAACACCTCGATGTACTGGTAATCAAGGAGACACCCGGAGACAGTGATCACATGGTGGTCATCAGGGGCCATATGAGAGTCTGGCACAGGCGTTACCAGGCAACCAGGACCATGCTCCATCCACCACGAACGATGGAGGGATGTGTTGAACGTCATGAGAAAGTCCCTGTCCTGTGACACACACATACATACACAAGTTCGTACGAGAAGGGCTACAACTAACGATTATTCTCATTGCCGCTTCCTCTGTTTTCAAATCATCTATTAATTGTTTCGTCTACAAAATGTCAGAAAATATTGAAAAATGTTCATCACCAAGGGGTCAGTAGATGAATCTGAAGGAATACCTCAAAAGAGCATTGGGCTAGCTAGGCTTTTTACCAGATTTCCTTTGTTTAAAGGTAAATAAATTACTTGATTACTTTGGCCTTAAAAAATAATTTAACTGATATAACTGTAGGAGGAAAAATCACTTTTTAATTTAAACTTTAACTGTAACTAATGTAGATGTGTGCAGACTGTGATTGTGAGCTGAAAATTAGGGCTGCAACTAAATTTTGGATGTAACCTGATAAGTTTGGCATTTTCTCTTAAAAACTTTAGACTTTAAAAAGATACTACATGAAAGTTTTTACATGTAAATTGACCATCAAAAAAGTTGCTTATTAATTTTCTGTAAATATATATACAGCATTTTTATAAGATGTCACCAGCCAAAAGTTTTGGGAATACTTATCAAAATTGTTGTCAATTCATTTTCTGTCAACCAAGCAATTAATAATTCCAGCACTAATGAAAAGAGCAAATATGCAAGTTGGAAAGGTATCACACACAACCCCAGGTATAAACACAAAGAACTTACCTGAGACAGGTTCCCAACCTCCAGGTAGAAACAGATGATGAAGGAGTTCCAGCCCACCCAAAGGACCAGCCATACTGCATACTGCCAAACAGACACAGAGATAATCTTCTTTATGAAAGTAACTACACACACAGGCTAATGCTTTATCAGTTCAAAGTAGAGAGCAGCTGTGACATCATCTGAAGGTGAGGGATATACTCACAAAGATGAGGTATCTGAAGCGAAACTGCACAGTGCCGAACATGCCAAGGATGACGGCCATAATGTGCAGGAAGTTGGCCAGGATGGGAGCCCACTGGTAACCCAGAAAATCAAACACCTGCCTCTGGAGGGCTGCCACCTAGGGGGACGAGGGGGGGGGGGGGGGGGGTCACATAAACACACGCACATTAGAGGTAAGCCACATACATACAAACACTCACTAATGAAGATATATGCAAATATATACATAAAAACACAACACATTAGAAATCACACACACGCGTAGCGACAGGGACACAGATACATACACAGGTCTGCCGCAGTTGTTTCCATGGTAACTGCCTGGAGCACCAGCAAGTCCAGTGACTGTAAAAGAGGAGCACCCCCTAAAAGCTCCCCCAAACTAATGAGAATCTATGGGCCGAATCCCCCTGCTACACAACAACTCATCAGCCTGGCAAACAATGGCCTGAACAACCAGCCCTCACACTGCTGCTGCCCATGCCTGCATCATGCTCACTACAGGAATAGATATTACTGTCTCATATTACACACTTATTACATTTTATAGGAATAGTCTCAAGCTATTTGTGGGCACAAGGAATAGCTAACTTTAACTCCAGAATGGAGACCAGATGGTGAACAGGGCCTCCTTGTCCCTCTTGTGCTTAACATTCACATGGTTTTGCCAGAATGGGGCTATCACCCCTCTCTCTACAGACACACAGACCACCCTGACACCAAAGCGCCCCCCTGCCCTGCTCCTTCTGCTTCAAAGACACACACACCCTCGCCTGTAATGTGGCATGGCACCCCAGCAGCTGCAGCTCAAAGCTTTTTTGGTGTGACTGTACAGAGAGGCTGGACAAAAATGTCTGATTACAATGTGCGGGTCTGTAGCACGCTGCTCTAATTATATCTTCATGGTGAATGAGTGGAGAGGCAGTCTTGGCCGCCGTACGCGCACATACACACACACACACACACACACACACACACACACACACACACACACACACACACACATAAACATACACATATACACACTTACCAACTGCAGTGAACATATCACCAGCAGCGTGCATCTGCCGTCGCACTTCCCCATCTTGGAGGGCTCAGGACGCGGCTTGGAGCCGCGGAGGCTCCGGGGGAATGACGGGTCCCCGGTCAGATCCAGACTGCCTGACCGTCTCACTTCACACCATTCCCGGCTGAATAGACCTGCCCAAGGCCGCCGCCTCCTCCTGCAACGCTGGTCTGGCGCTTCCACTCACAGTGAGTGACCCATCTTGGCCGCTGGTTTTGTCGGTAAATACCAGTCGCTGGTGGTTTTCAGGAAGGAGAGAGGAGAAGGGACAGGGGAGGAGGTGGGGGCGTCCACTTCACGCCGGCCCGTTGCGGTCCGACCACCACCGACAACCGAATCACCTCGGCCACACCTTTCGGAGCGGGGACACACAAAGGCACAAAGAGAGACGGAAAGCTGTCATAATCTGCCCCAGGCTACAGACAGAAATGAGCATCATATGATACCGGATCACACGGGGGCGGAGGGGAGGAGGGGACCGACCCCGCAGTGCTACTACGGCTAACGTCTGGCTACATGCAATCTGCTACGGACACAAAGCAGCCCGTTGTGACTCACGGTTTTCTAGGAGCGGAAGAGTCCTCGTCCCCCCCTCACCCCTTCGTCCCGATCTTCTCCTCCTCGAGCTGTTATGGGAAAGAAGTCAAGTTAACGGGCAGATCTGCTCACCGGTACCGGGGTCTGGGTTCCTTCGCTCCGTCCAGTAGCGTCTTTTGTCAACAATCGGTGCCGGGGCGGGCGCAGGAGGAGCCGGGGGGAGAGAGAGAGAGAGAGAGAGAGAGAGAGACGAGGGGGGTGGGGGCTCTCAGTCACCGCGACCCCCTCGAGGAGGAGCTGCATGGATTCTGCAGATCCGCGTGCGTGCGCGCGGCCGAGCGGCAGCCCCGCGAGGCTCTATGAAGGAGCACAAAAGAAACGGGCTCTCGTGGTGGCGGAGGAGGCTCAGACAGGCGAAAATAATAAAGTCTGTTACCGCCTCCCACTACTACCAGAGAGTGGATACTGACCGAGGAGAGAGAGCACCGGCCCGCGGGGCTGCTCGTCTCCCCAGCCTGCGGTTATTCAGAGCGGAAAAACCCAATTAACAGCCATGTTTAATCTCAGCTACTTAACACGAGCAGCGCGACAGCGAGCTTCACATAAGTAAAGTCAGCTTTCACTGATGAAAGGGTAGATAATGACCACAAAGGCGGTTATCGCGAGGCCATAAGACAGTCAATGGATAATAAAACTAGTTTACTACAACAAATCCTATGGATCTTACTTTGTTTTTCTCCTTTGCCTTTGACTGATAACCTTATGACTGCACTGTAACTACACTATAACTCTTGTCTAGTCCGATTTGAACTTTATCTTACTTATCGAATTTTATTCAATTTGAACTAAGTAAAATATAGTCACGTCAGTAACTCTATATAGTGCTGAATAAACTGCCCTCATTCATTTATACATAGGCCAATTCGAGGGTTGAAAACATTCAACTTCCAGCACTTTGAGGAAAAACCAAGATGGAGAAAAAAAGGCCACAAAACTTTAACTTTTTTTTAAAGACATTTTCAGTAAAATCCAGTAAACTGAGTTTAACAACTAATAGTAGCCATTCTTAACATGCCCCCATTCCTTTAAATGTTAAATCATCAGTTTAGTTCATCCATTTACTGTCCAACAAGAGGAAGTTGTTTTTCGAGCAAGACACATATAAAACAAAACACAATTAAACAATATGACAGCAATAAGATATTAATAGTATCTTAACTGTACTCTATTGATTATTAGAAAACTGCACCAAATGAAAACAAGGATAAGATGAAGTGTAGGAAAACATTAATGACTAGGTTGTGTGGGACCTAGAGGCAGTTTATAGTGTATAATTAATATGGTGAAATAAGTGCATTTATTGCACTACCAATAAATTAAAATTGTAACTTTCTTCACCTTCTTCATCTAATTTTCCTCCAGCCGATATCCCTGACCTGAGAGAGGGTGTCAAGCTTCTGAGGGAAAGGATGGTCCAGACTGAATAAAATGTGGCATCAGTGTTCATATCAAAGTTCAATTTCTAGGCAGTATTAATGTGTTAAGCAGTAAGAAGTACTCCATATACTGCTGCTTATTTTAAACTACAAGAATGTACATGCACAAGGTTCCTCAAAGTAACTAGTTAATACCACTGTCAGAGAATGTAATGCTTTTCAATGATTTTCCTTGAAAATAGTAGTGGATGAATTATAAAAAAATAACTTGTATCTTTGCATAACCAGATCACAGCATTCAACTGTTTGCTGATGTCTACTCAGCTTTAGTGGGTAAAACCAGCAGCCAGTTCCATGTAAAACAACTATGAACCCAGGAAAGCATCATCATGACAAAAGAACTCACAAAAAAAGAAAAAACGTTTTACAGAATATTGAAGTTTATTAAAAAGAAACAAATCAGAATTAAAAAAACATGTAATTGTAGAGGTTGTTCTGACTGAGCATAATAAACTTTAAACACATGTCCTGAGGTTGTTCTGAGACAAGCTGCTTCAGCCTACATGAAATTACAGAGACTCCGAATTCCACTGTCAAACACCAACCGTCCACTTCCAACGTAGGAGACTTGCTTGCAGGACACACACGCGCACACAAACGCGCACACACACACACATACGCGCACACACGCAAGTTTGCACACATAAACACCCTACTGAATTTCTCCCATGTAGAGCCGTTTATCACTGGAGCCAGACAGCACTGTGAGGAGAGAAAAAGATGATTAAATACTTATTGTTAAGCATGTTTTTGCAACTAAGCCTGAAGTGAGCAAAACACCAAATGAAATCTCACAGAGAGAAAGTTGCGGAAAAACTACATGAACGTGAAAATGATCTTCCCTTCAGTGTGTCTTTCAACTTTTAAAACAAAAAAAAAACTAACCTGTTCCTCCAGTCTTAACATATCTCTGCTCTAAGGTATTACAGCATGTAATCTGAGACAAAAGTAGGTGTTCGACTCACCTATGGGCTCCTCGGGGTGGAAGGCCACTTCATTGACAGAGCCAGCATGGCCAGGCAGCTTGTACAGGATTCTACGTGATGTGGTGTCCCAAATATACACAAATCTGTAAACACAGACAAAGTCAATAACAAGAGTGACTCCTGATGCGAGTCAACACAACAGAAAGGTTTATGTATTCATTTTGTCTTTATTATGCCGTTTGTGGTTCAAGAAAACCAGAACCGAGTCAAAATCATCGTAATGGCATTTACATTTGCAATAACGCAAATTACTAAAAAATCAAACCATGGGACATAAGTTTGTTTAACATTGGTTCAATTAGTTCATTAAATTTGTCTAGATGGTTTAGAAGGTTTTTTTAACTTATCTTTTAAATAACCATTGTTTATTTAATATTTATGTTTTGAGCTGTCTTAAATGAACACCAGTTCCCACAAGCCTTGGACCTTTGTGGGTTCAAAGTCCATGGGTGAGTAGAGTGGCCACAAACAGTTGAGATGTGGCTAGACTAACAGCAGGACAGAGAGGGCCAAAGAGCGTAGACATATGAGACAGCAGAGATTACAGCTAAAAGGTCAGAAAATGACATTAGAAGAGAGAATCAGTGGATATTACTGATATGACAAAACTGAGTTAGGACGATGATGTTAGTAAGTGCATTGCTGCACTAGCAGATTTTCATGGGAGCTGTTTCTTATGTGGTAACAAATTATTAGTTGTTTGTTCTATATCTTGCAGGTTCTTGAGCTGCTTTTCTGTTTTAGTGAGGTAAAGACAATTTTACCCTGTAGTGAATAATAAAGTTAATTTTTATTCTATTCTATTCTAAGATATAGAAAGTCCTGTAGCAGACCCTCATTTATCTAACAATATGGAACAAGGTTCACTTCTTCAGAAAGACAGATGAAAGAGGAGCTAGTGGAACCTGAGGGCAACCCCAAGGCGACATCAGGACAGTGGCTCTCTAGAGACACTATGACAAGAAGTTCCCTGGACTTGATAATTAAGTATACCATGACCTGGCGTGTGCGTGTGTGCGTGTGTGCGTGTGTGTGGTTTCTTCTCACCTGTCAGCTGAGCCTGCAGCTATCTTACTGCCATCGTTAGACCAGGAGCATCTCAGCAAATTCTGTATGACAGCAACAGATGTTAGACACTGCATAACACAACCATTCTACATGTGAGCTACTATTATCACAATTATATGAAAGATTTATACTAGAAAGAACAGCAGAGAGTGATGGGAGAGGCAGGAGAGGTTGAAAGTATTTGTCATGCAAGTGTGGTTGACAGTACATGAAAACTCTGCCAGCAGGACGACAGCTGTTAGTCACTTATGTACAAAGTTATAGATTGCATCAGTTCACAGGATAAAAGTACCAAGTGCTGTTTATTGCATATCAGAGAGGGACATGTTTTGATGCCTTTTAAGAAAAAGTGAATGTTTGGTCTCCCTCATGAAGAAAACTCTGCTGGATGGTAATTTACTCCTTGCAATCTGTTACGCTGGGCGTGTTCAACAGTAGAAAGAAGTACAGTATCAGTCCCTTATGTGCAAGCACACTGCATGTGCCCTGGATCACAAAGAGGGCTGGAAAGTTATCCATGTTACCTTTTCAAAGTTGTGGACATTGCCCTGGAAAATCTTCACACATCTCTCCTTGGGCGCGAATGGTCGAACATCCCAAATGCGCACTACACAGAGAGTGAGACAAAAGTCGAATGAAAGATCCAGTGACAGAATATTGAATCTTATGGCGTGAGCAACATTTCTTATACAAACAGCCTACCTGTGTTGTCCATGGAGTTTGAGAGAAGGTATGATCCCTCAGAACTCAGTGCGAGTCCAGTTACTGAGTCGCCATGGCCGTGCATATTGTAGATCAGCTTATTCTGCCTCAGGTCCCACACCTGCTCAACACAAACAACAGCTCCATATTCAGAGGATGAAAACCAGTTGTCATAATTGTGGTCAGAGTCAGGGTGGAAAATAAATAGACAAACTGTTGGTCTCACAACACATGAACATGCTCCAACACAACACGCCCAGCTGCAAAATCACAAAAGGAGCCTGCAGCAGGGTTTGTAACCAAAAATAGGTAACAGAATGAGGCACGAAAACACTGATATGATTCTTCAACATAATTATAAAAGATGCACGAGTGAAACAAAGGAAGCAGTGAATTCACTATTTCATGGGCTGAGCAGCACCTGAGGGAGGCAGTTTCACAGCACACTGACAATAACCTAAACGCTTCTATTTCAGCACGTTATTTAAAATGCAGTGTGTTTTTAATCAACTACAGATTAAAGTCTGCAGCTTTTTCCATTAACTATTTTTAATAAGATACACAGCATACTAAACAACCCAAATCATCCCCCTCACCAGATGTTTGAGTTGAGCCACAGGGGCAGAAAACTGCAAAATAAAAACTAATAGTTTTTTTCAGTGATTCTTCATTTTTGTTATCTGCTATCACGGAATTTGATATCCATATCCCTTCCTTGCAAGCTTTATCATAATCTACCAGTAATGTTGTTTGTAATGATCTAATTGGTCTTGAAAAGTATGACAGTAACATTTAACTTTTTTTTTTTAAAAATGGACTTTTGTGGTCATAACTGTGGTATTTTGTGGAATTGACTAAGGGTATTTTTTTGCTCAGTGAGGATGGGTAGAAGGAAAAAGTAGCAGTCAGCAAGGGAGGACATACAGGACACAGCACCCAAGGACAATTATCTACAGCTTCTTCTGGTATTATTCCTTTTTTGGTTCATCTCTGTAGATTTACTTTTTAATTACAATTTTTATATAAAACATTTTATATATATATATATCAAATGTGTACACATGCATGATATAAATTTATTATGTATGTATAATTGTTGCATTATGTATATAATGCATGTAATAGTTCAAGTTCATAATTCAAGTTGGATGATAAACAGAAAAAACTGATACCAACTATAGGAAAAAATGACTGTCATCACTTTACTCATATTGATGTATGTCCACGATGTAGGGCAAAAGCTTTTCTCAGGTGCTTTCAAAAAATATTACCAAGGTGTTATCATGGTAAGTTAAACTTGTAATTGATTGAAGTTAGTATAATATATATATCATCCATAGTATGTATGTGTGTGTGTTTCAATTTGAAACTAATCTGAATCCCTCATAACATTTCATCATTTTCATTTTCATCAGATCATTTTGAATGCACCTGGAAACGACACAGAAAATAGTGCATACTGAAACCCAGTACCTTGATGTCGTTGTCGATGCCTCCTGACAGGATCTGGTCACTGGTGTCGTTGAAGGTGACGGCCAGCACCTGATAGGTGTTCTGGAAAGTGTGGATTGCCCCCTTCTTACGGATGTCCCACAGCTACCATTAAGACAAACATACAGAGAAAGACATTAACAAAGGCACTATCAGATCATGACCCCATAACAACTCTCCAAATTTAGGATCAGCTCTCGAATTGTCTCCCAAGACTGACCAGTGAGTGGAAAATCACACTTGAACACTTGAATTCAGTAATAGAATACATTTCCAATCAAATGTCATTCAATCTCTAACAGGTCACTTAATTTATTCAAATTAAGCAACTACAAATCTCACCTTTACTGTCCCATCGTCGCTGCCGGTGCAGACAAGCTGGGGCCCTCGGCGGGCCGGGTAGCAGGTGTTAACGAAGGAGGTGTGGCCCTTCAGACGCTTGATCCTCTCACCTGTTTCACTGTCCCACACACCGACAGTCTTGTCTGTGCTGGCTGAAAACAGCACGCTGAAATACACCACATGAAAACACAGCTGGTTAAGAACACAAAGGGTAACATCTTACACCCGGCGAAAAACGAAACGCAATTTTCTTCGCTAGTTTCTCTCTGCAGAGAAGCATCTTTCTTACTACGTGGTAAATCCACCACAGCGTTTCCCATTCTATACTTTGTCCACCACAGTTTCATAGTCAATTGAAAATTTAAAAAGTTCTCATAACATAACATAAAAGATGTCTAACATTGTGATTTGTGCTGTTGTTTCATTGAGGAGCATTGCGCAGCACATTGATTCGCTCAGCTCTTCATTGCCCCTCTGGGCACACAGAGCTGCTCCGTGCGTGTGCAGGGACTGGGCTAACTGGTCAGTCACAAGTTGTAAGCACATCTGGCTTTTAAAGGGAATGGGAGATGGCACTCTGGATGGTTTATTGCATGTTACACTCCCATGATTAAATAAGAGACTAAGTACAACCCTTTTGTATCATGTGCCTGTAAGAGCGACCGTTTTTTCCGCAGTTACAGTAGCAAAAATGGATTTAAAGATGCCTTAAATGCACTTGCGCCTTGGCTTTAGACCATGTGCTTTGGACTGTGAAAATAGAGTCCAAAGTAGCTCAATCCTTTCTAGATACATTTATCAGTCCAATGGACAAAGCCATGAATTAAGAAGCATGAGTTCGACATGTCTCTTGACAAATATCTCAGCCAGGTAGTAAAATTTAACAAATGGGAAATGTGTGTTGTTCTTCTCTGATTACAGACATTAGAATTCATGTCATGTTTGCTTGGTAGTTTGGTTTAGACCAATATTACTGATGGATAGCTGATAATGTTACAGACTTTTATCAAACTAAATATTTGCAGCTGCTGTAACTATATTTCTTTCTGATATCTGTCATCCAAACAGTTCCAAGGATTATAGATGACTAATTTTTTATTGCTGCATGTCTATAAAACAATTCACTTTAAGTTAGTGCTGTTCATTTAGACACCTAATTATTTTGACTGGAGTTTCATCCAGAGTATACCTATACCATTTTACTTCCTAGGTGATCGTTCATACCTGCCATCTGTGTTGTAGTGCAGCTCCATCACTGCTCCACTGTGGCCCTTCAGCGTGGCATAATTTTCACAATCTCCATACACATTCCACAGCACTACAGCAAAGAAACACAGGGTGCAACAGTTTCGTAACAGTAACTGGGCATGAAAACATTTTAACAATGATGTGTGAACTGCAGGGTTTGTTGGCTGTTTGGTGTAATTTAGTTGTTAATAACTTACATATGAGTCTGTCAAATCCCGAGGAGGCCAGCGTGGCTCCGTTAGGATGAAACTTGCAGCAGTAGACCTCGCCCTCGTGGCCAGACATCAGCATGATGGGAGCCTGCATGCTGGAGCTTCGCGGGGGGCCCTGCAGGACATACACCAGTGGTCAAATATAGTGGTTATGAGACTGAGGTTAGTGCTGGGTGAATTGTAAAATAGATATATGCTGTTGAACAATGAAAAAGGAAATTCTTATGTGTATTTTTCAATCCCTGCTGCTATTTTGACATTCAAAATACAGTTCAGTGGCATGTTAAAGAGAAAATGATTAATTGATAAATCAAGAAAATAATCAACAGTTTAAAATATAATAACAAAAACTTTTTGCAGGCCAAATGTGAAGTGTCATGTACAAGCCACAGCATCAAAATGTGCATAAAGCTGAATCAAAGACCCTCTAAAAGTTTTAATAAAACAGAATATTATAGCCTTCATGAGGGTAGGATTTATTTCAAGAGTTGTATTAGACTTCATTCGCTTTCGCTAGATTTCCCTAATAAACAGGCAATGATATAGCATCATTACTGTTTCAGTGTAAGATCCAGTTGATATTCATCATAGTCGGCTGCAAAATAAATTTTCAAGCTCTGCAAAAGTAATTGTAGGAGAAATCTGAAAAAAGTGTACAATTGCCTGTGCATTTGCCAGTCCCAGCTGAGAGCGGCTGAAAGTGAATTAAACGCACCACAGTATTTGCTGCTTTTGAGTTTATGTTACTATCTTTTCCTTGTTAACTGTATAGCCGGAAACCGTCCCATTTATACACATAAAAACACTTTTCTAACCCAGTTAGTGCACTTCAGAAGAAGTTGTGCAATAAATAATAACAGAGCGACCAAAACAGATTTGTTTTGGTCGCCCCTAACAGGTTTCTTCCAGTACATCTCTGCTCACACCGGGTTATTCTTTCCGTACCATCGCCACGAGTTGCTGTGACTGAGCCGCCGCCACCAGCTCCGTCCGAGGCCGCTTCACGGCGGCGGGAACCACCGCCATGTCCGCTACTCTCTTCTTAGGTTCAATCATCTTGGGTTAGAGGATAAGAAACAGCGAAAACGTTGAAATTCAAAGCTGTAATTTTACAAAAATGAACGGACGTCTTTCATAGAGGGACGTCCAGCGGCGTAACACCAACGAAGAACATCGAGGAACTACTTCCGCTGGCTATAAGGCGTGTGATTGGATGCTCAGTTTACCGACTGCGATGATTGGTTTCATTGCTTATTGTCAACACGATTTGCACCGGATGTGAAACGGAATCAGCTCTGCTAATACGAAAGGTAGCAATATTTTATTTTAACATTTTCTGCTGAATTACATTTACACCCTTTCCTTTACAAACTGGTATTTACATTTTATGCACGAACCGATTATTGTCATGTTCTTGTGGGGTTAAACAAGGTTGGGTTGATAGAAGATAATATTATAATATCTAGCTAACGTTAGCATCTCACTGCTGCCGTTCTCACTCATTCACTTTGTTACTGCAGATGTAAAGTTAGTACTGTTTTTGTTAGTACTGTCCTCGAGCTTCTGCACATAGTTTATTCTCTGAAGCTTATATATAAATCAAGTCACGTCAACCAGCTATATTTGATCCCCGTGTTAGAGGACTCAGCAGCACCTGAGCAAAGAAAACACAGGAGGGCTGGAGTGATGAGACAATTTTGTTGTTAAAAGTAATTCCAATGCAGTAATTCACAGGGATTTATTACGGTTGGTTATGTTTTAAACTAAACATATTCTTCATGTTGTTGAAGTTCCTCTAAAATCGCCATGTCACTGTGTCCACCCCCTTTGTATCTTCTATTTAAACACTCATGCATTCGCAACAAAAACAAACACCACAAAACGTATGTGAAATTGATAAATAAAACAAATAAAACTGATTTTTGAAACTATAATAGTGAACATATAAGTCCCCAAACCCTTTCACCCAGGTTTGTAAATATCATAGGTGACTTGTGCACTTATGATGACTATATAACCAAGCACAATGGCCATAATATACCACTTGAATAGATATTGTAATGTAAACTAGGGTAAAGAGGTTTCTTATAAACATGTTCATAGAATCTGTCCAGTTAATACATACATTGTACAGAGTCATTTCATTTTGAAGTATTATGTTTTTGTTGACTTTTTTTTTTTTTGTAGACAAAAAGAAACATGAATCCACAAATGTCGGTCTCAAAAAGGACATTCTCTTCCACTTTAAGATACTGTAAGTAATTAAATATGTTTCATTATCAGCCTAATAGATCCACTTCCTGATACCTGTGATCGGCTTCCACTGAGACAATGTCTGACAGTGATGGTCCAGCTCCAGAGCCTGCCGGACTGGATGGTCTGCCGCCACTGTACAGCATTTCCAAAGGAGAGGTGGTCTCTGTGCAAACCTACGGAGCTTTTGTCCGACTGCCAGGATACAAGAAGGAAGGTGAGTTGGAGGTCATATATCTGTATAGATCTTTACTTCAGGCATTTACAAACAAAAATGTTATTATTCATTAATTATTCAGAGAGAAAACAGCCACAGAAGCAAAATAAGTGAAATTAATCACAACATTAAGATGAAATAGGACAGTGAAAGAAAGCAAAAAACCCATATGATACAAAAGAGTAAGTAGCAAAAGCACAAGGGTAACACAATAAGAATTATAAAACCTATTAGGAAAATATTGCAGAGCTTGCAATGGGTGGAAACACTAAAAACTACTGTAATAGTGAAAATTATAAGAAAACATCTGAAATGAGAAATATGCAGTGAAAGAGCAATGCATGGTCAGCACCTGCAACCAGTGCCAGGTGAAAACTACTGCAGAGCCAAAAGTAATGCAGAGTGAGTGCAGTGCAGAGGATATAGGGCCCGGGTTTCCAAATTCTAGTGCATAGTGTCAGTCTGTGACAGTGATCTCTCAGTCCGAGACTACAAGGCACCTAAGCCACATGATTCTACAGGAGTAGGATTTTATTCTCTCTCTGACTGTAAGAAGAAGGTGTTGGATGATTATCAGCTTTTTTTTTTGAGTGGCAGTGCCAGCATCCTGCAATTTGACAAAGAGGAAATGTTACAGTGCAAGCCTGTGTTTTTAATATATTGACATACTTTTTAAATGTTAGCACAACCACTGTTACAAATCATTTTGAACCCATTTTACTTTTACCAGTCACTATGACTTCCCATTAAAAAGGATCCAAGATAATCTGCGTGTGGAGAGGGAAAGAGTAGGAAGGGTTTGGGGTTGGACAGGGTTGCTGAGAAGAGCAACAGATTGATGAAGTGGAATGTCTCAAATCGATATTTACACTATTTTTTCACCAAATGATCAAAAACTGAACACCAGCTCCTCATTTTCGCCACTGGAGGGCGAACTATGCAAAGTTTACTGGGATAAATTCAGCACCTGCCCCTTGGACCTCAAATGTTGGGATTTAGTTTTTAACTTCATCATAACACAAAAAATGCAACAAAAATGTTTGGAATGTGTGAAACTATTAACTTACACCTGGCTTGAATTTGAAGTCTGTGAAGACAACTGGGTTCAGGACATTTCACATTTGAAAACTTGTCACTACTTTTTGGTGGACAACAATTGCATGGTGACACTGTTTCAAAATCTCATCTTTGGCTTTTCTGTACTTCAATTTCTTGCTCTAAATTCATCATCAGCAATAGAGAGAGTTTTACTGCATCTAAATCCTGTGAAATAAATGTTTGTATTTAACATCTAAACTCCTTCCCCTTGCACACACAGGCCTGGTACATGTGAGTGAGATGTCAGCTACACGGGTTGAGAACGCCTCAGAGATCGTCGATGTGGGCGAACAGGTGTGGATAAAAGTCATTGGAAAAGAGGTAACAACAACAAACACACAAACACATATACACACACACACACACACACATAAACACATATACACATACACACAGAGTACTGTATGTAAAACCCAGAGCAGGATGACTGCAGCTCTGTCCTCCATTTGTCAGATTCGGGGTGACAAGGTGAAATTGTCCTTCTCAATGAAAGCTGTCAATCAGGGAACAGGGCGGGACTTGGACCCCAACAATGTCATGGCAGAGTAAGTCTTTATAGTTTTATTATGCGTGTGTGTCTGTGTGTCTGTGCATGTGTGTTATTATCACCTGTGTGTGTGATTGTAGGCAGGATGCGAGGCGACGTAAGCAGTTTAGAGACCAAACTGGCAACAGGATCACACTGGAGGCTGTGCTCAACACGACGTGTTCAAAGTGCGGCTGCAAGGGTACAACAACAACGTGAACAATACAACTTGTCATATCTTAAAAGAACAAAATACAGAGACTATGAAATCACTTAGAAATATATGTATATATGTAGCCACTTCAATAAATTATTACTTTTTTCAGGTCACTTTACAAAGGACTGTTTCTCTGCTCCGGGCCTGCAGTACGCCCTTTTGCCTGAAGAGGACGATGAAGAGCCACGGCAGCAACAGCAGCAGACCTCCACAGTTGCATCACAGCAAGACTCAGACAAAAAGAAGAAGAAAAAGAAGGTCAGTATGTGACAGTTGATGCCCAATGTGGCTGTCACTACCTTTTTTATTCCAGCTCCCCCACCTGATGCAACAACCCACATGTCTCGGTATGACAATGCATTTCCGTGGTTGCTTACGTTTACAAGATACAAGGCAATTTCATGAGAATTTTCAGAAGTGTTGTTTGGAAGAATACACTATTTTTGAGGTATTGAAACTGCGACTTTCTTGCTTTCTTGCAAGCTCCCATAATTGCTTAATGGAATTTCTTCTTTTTTGTTTATCTGCCAGGAGAAGAAAATGAAGAAGAAGAGGAAGAGGGAGAGGAAGGAGTCAGAGAGCGACAGCAGCAGCAGCAGCAGTAGTGAATGTAAATCCAAGAGGAGGCGCCACGATCACACTCGCGACAGAGAGGACAAAAAGAAGAAGAAACACAAGAAACACAAATCTCATAAACACAGCTGAGAGCTGACACACATGTACACTACATTCACACACTGCAGCTATCACACAGATGCAAAAGGGGAAGTGGGTAGCAACAGACGGATGGGCAGACTTCCAGGCCGTATATCTTTACATAATCTCTCCACCAACAGCTTATTATAGAAACTTTCATCCAAGTTAAGGAAATGTTTGCTAACTGTCTTTCCAAGTAATTGAAAGTACAATTAAACCTCCCATCAAGTTTAAAAATCAGATGACCACTTGTCCTAATGTAACCTCTGGCTCCCCAGAGGGAGGAGTTCATACATCACACGAAACCAGATAGGGGTAAGCAATATGGCAGCATGTGACTAGCCATCTTGAACTCCAGATATTGTTCACAGCTATCCGGTTTCTAATGCTCTGGGAAATCCGTTAAGCAGACATGAGGCGGTAAAGCCGACTCTTAGGGAGGGTCTGACATGAAAAACCTTAAAATAATCCACACAGAGAAAGCTGTATTTACACACACACACACACACACACACACACACACACACACACACACACACACACACACACACACACACACACACACACACACACACACATACACACACACACACACACACTCAGACACACACTCAGACACACACAGAGAGGAAGAGGTAAAGCCACAAACAGGAAATGTAATGTAGTACAAGTGAGCATGACAGGAACCCCATGCTATGGTGATATCCTTAGGTTGTCCGCCGCTTATTGTGCATCTGTGTGTACATCCATGTGTGTTTGTGTATCTTGTCTCCAGGGGACTGCTCACAGTACACACACCCCTCTTCCTGCATGTCAACTGTTAACTCCATTAAAGGTGTTTTTATTTGTAAAGGTAAAACAAAAATGCCTCTTGATGTCTTTGTTCTTGGACCTTGAAATCATAATGTTGCTATCAAAGTCAGTCCGTGGGGAACCAAAACACACACACACACACACACACACACACACACACACCCTGGGGTCATATGAAGTTAATGTTTTGAAGTGAAGTAAGGCATCCTAGGACTGGATTGAGGGATTGGGTTGGGTCGTGTCCCACGAGGTAAAAAGTTCCATAAAATCAGTAACTCTGTCTTTTTCTATAAGATGAACCCTTGTCAACAAAATAAGGCAACGTCAGGGACTCAATATCTTGTTTCTTTTATGCTGTTTTGACCTAGTTTCCATGCTTCTACATGTAGGTTTTTGGAGTGATAGATTGTTTCCAGCTGCAGTGGTTTGACACGGCTCCAGTGAACACACTCCCCTGTTAATCACTTGAGTTTATTGGTCAGTGTCAGTCCTCCTCATTTTCTTACACTCGATTCCTCGTTTGCAACAGACAGATATACAAGATGAAGTTAATACGGTCAGTTTAATATTTAGTGTGACTCAGAGCTTGCACAACCAGAATTGTGAGCTTGTGTTCATTAATGCACATAATTTGAAAACAATGGCATCAATCAGTCAGAAAAATCCTGTGGAATCCTGTTGTTCAACTTGTACTACCATGTTTGAGTTGACCTTTAGGGATCTGTTGGGTATTTTCCCCTCATACAGGAAATATCCTTGAAATGTGTAACATTTCTGCTTCCATAAGGGAATAACCCGTTTATCTTTGTACATTGTGTTGGAAGGATTTTGAAAAAAAAAAAAAAACACAATTACAGGACAATGAATTGTCATTTGGAGTCAAATGAGCTGACACTGGGCGAGGGTGGGGTACACCCTGGACAGGCTGCCAGTTCCTCCTCACAGGGCTGACATACAGAGACAAACAACCGGTCACGCACACATTCACACCTATGGGCACTTAAGAGTCGCCAATTAACCTATTGTGCTGTTCGACTGTTTTTGGACAGTGGGAGGAAGCCAGAGTCCCCGGAGAAAGCCCACGCAGGGAGAAGACAGAGAAAGGCCCCAGGCCCCTCTCCCTGTGAGGCTAACCTCACTGGACCACCGTGCCACCCAAGATAAGGTTTCTTAATAATTATTTTTACTTTTTTTTTTAATCAAACTATTTTACAAAGTCAAGTATGAAGTTTCAATCTCAATTATTTAACAACTTTGCTGTATGTATATGGATGTAGTAGTAGTATTTATATGGATATCTTCATGCAGTAACAGTCCGCTCATACTGTACATGCAGTATATTTGCACATTATTACTTTTTATTTGTGTAAACACTTGTCAGTACGAATTGGATGTTTTTTTTGCACCTTTCTGCGTGTAATTACTAATGAATTGTCATGATCAGTATGAATATTTCTTTTTCAGTTTTCATCTTTTAAATTGGTTGTTCCCAACCTTTTGTTGTCACATATACCATTCACATGTTTGTGTAATTCATCATTAATTCATATAGATAGGATGGCTTTCATGCAAATGTGCCATAGTGTTTCACTGCTGAGAAAACACAGTGCCTGTGTAGGAGCTGTAATCCTGGCATTATCTGTGTTCAGGTGGTTGTGGGGTGGCAGTGTTCATCAGTGTGTGGTCTATTTTTCATACTTTCATACTTCTACCACATGGACATTTTTACCGTTTAGTTACTTACTGTATGTGTAGTTTGACTTTTCTATTCGGTTGCTTTTTGTGCATTTACTTTTCTCAAACACAAATATGTAGCTATAGATATCCATAGATGCAAGAAGGCTATTGCATTGTGTACAGCTCATCTTTTCTTGTGACCCTTTCATGTCAGGGTAACTATAGGACAAAGTGGCAGAAGGTCGCCTGATTCGTCCCGAGCCCTTTCACCCCTTCACCTTGCTCCTAGTTGGCAGTCTGTCACAAACACATGACACCAATCTACTGTGGGAGGGAATGATCCAAATTTAGAAAGCGCACACACAAGCACACACATCTAATGTACAAGTGCAGGATATGACAGCACTCGCACACCTAGTGCTAGCTTTAACAAAACTTTCCCCTCACCTAGCCAGGGCAAAGGTAAGACACACTAGTATATCCAGGAGCAGGGGCTATAATTAACCTCTCCGTGAGCCTCTATAAAACCAGCTGTGATGGAAACTGTTGGTCACACTCTATGGATCTACGTAGATGTGTACTATTATGTTGCACTACTGAACGCTTACACCCCGCTGTTTTCTAAAAACAGGTCAGACTGGACTGTTTTTGCACAGAGTTCAGCTGAACTCATGACAGCAGCTCCAATATTTACTGCGGCCTTGAACTGAAGCTCCCTGAGTTATCTATTGATCGCAGCTGTCAGCAAATTTATTTAAATGACACTTGATTATACAAGTGAAAATAGTGGAATTTTCCTCAAGGACATCTGATCGTTTCAGAGTTTGTAGACTTCATAGGTCCAGTTAGGTAAACTTTATATTTAATAATTTACCCACCAACTGGGAAAAACAAACATATTGGAAGAACTCCATTGTTTTATCAGTCCATCCAACAGTGTGGAGATATTTATTTTTATTTTTCAGGTCTTAAAATTTCAAAAACACTTTTCCAGGTTTATCACAGGCACAATGCATAAAACATTTTTCTTTAAAAAAAAAAAAAAAAAATTGCAGACCTGGAACTTTAGAGAGAAAAAACAACAACAAATCATTGGAATTTATTCAGTGTTTCTTACAGTAGAAGGAACAACAGTATAAAGTGAAGGACAGGGAGAAAATGGAGATCACAGACAGCAGCAATGTTAATACTGAGCATACAGTATGAAGGGACAATGTGGGGAATCTGCAGAAGCCATACAGGCGGCCTGCTTGACCTGGGTTGAGGTGGTGTTAGGGAGTTGTGGTTCAGGCTGTTAGATGATGCAGTTAGACGATGTGTGTTGGGTTTTACTCTGCCTTCTCGTAGCGACGTGTGCAAACAACTTGTCCGAGTGTAAGTGTCTGTGATGGACAGAAAAGGAAAGATAAAATAAGACAACAAACACACACACATACAGATGTTTAATGTATGCATATTATGTAAGTACTTACTAGTGTGAGGGCATTTCCGCTGACTTCCCTGACCAGGCTGGTCTCTTTGTTATCCCACTTCTGTATGTGCACCATCTTGCCATCCTCTACTGTTACAATGGACTGCAGACAACAGGTAATAAAGTGTTTGGATTATTACTAAACAACAGTTTTGAGGTACTTGTATTTTACTTGAACGTTTCTGTTTTTTTAACTACTTCATATTTCTACTGCTCTAATTTTTACCGCACTACATTAATTTGACACTTATAGTTATCTTACCTTTCAGATTTGAGCTTGTAAAATGCGATGCACTGCTATACGTTAAACTATATAATGTAGTTCAAATTATCTCCACCTCGACCAGCTACAGCAGAAAAATGCTACTTATTTATTTAACGTATGTTAACTTTAGTTTAACAGTCAGTTGCCACAAGTAACAATCACAAGATGAAGGCTAAGGCTAACGTGTTGTGTAACAGTAGCACGAGCAGAGATGAGTCACAAAGCCAATAAACTGACTCAGTTGTGTCACTTATAGCCTTCAGCAACATACAGTACATCTTAAGTAACATTTGCGTCTGTTAGCAATCATAAGCTCCCGGTCATACCAGACCAGGTGAGGCTACAGCAGAAAAACCTCTGTTGTTTCAGGGCACATTTTGTTGCTTGTAATTTCAGCTTTTTATACAACCAAAATGTCCTCTTATAGTTTTGAATCAGACTGAAAAATGATCTAACGCACAGTGATTAAGAAACAACGTTGTTTCCATTCTGTGGCTTATTAAAAGTGAAACTTAATCTGTTTTAATTTTTTTCCCCTCCTCTCCCATCCCTCTGACACTTTGCCTATAAGAGCTAATCATTTTCTGTTTCCCTTAAGTTCATCCCCCTCAACCTCAAATATTAAAATGACATGCGGATGCCATTGCTCATTTTATGGTCAGAAATTAGGATCAAGTCACCTTCTCTGACCCATCACCTCTCGCCCGACCTCTCTGACTCACCTCCTCATGTTCACATTTAAAACAAGAATGGCCGCCTCCAACTATGACTAGTCACATGTTTGTGTCCATCATCCTTGTGACTGTAATTGTCACTCATTGCTTGATAAATTATTTATAGATGCTTCAGCATTTTTAAGTGTGCAGTGAGTTTCACAGAGATTGTGGTTATAAAAAAGTGTTCACCTCTTAGAGCCATTTAAACCCTCTTTATCAAAGTAATTGACTACACGTTATTCTACAACAGTCTCCTGTCACAACAACAGCAACCTGACCTTTGAGCTCTCACCTTAACCTTCCTGTCATCGGCGGTGGTCTCGTCAAACTCCTCGCCCAGCTTGAAGCTGAGCTCTGTGTTCTTAATGGTGCTCTGGGTCTTCACTGTCACCTTGTCGCCATCCACTGAGATAATAGTGGTGGGCTTTGTCAGGTTGCCCACCTTACGTGTAGCAAAGCCAACACCTGGGGAAAACAAAAACATGTTGGTTATGCAAATTGTCGTGGGGGGTGGGGGTGAAGACTTGAGGCGTGCCATCAAGCTCTAACAGTCAACAAATAAATGGATCAAACACCCGCCCTTAGGGAAGGGTGTAGGCACAAATGTGCTTTAGATTAAATGCTAACAATAGGAAGCCACATGAAAATAACCTGTAAACAACCGGTTGAGGCTTGTGGGAATGTTATTATTTTCACCAAAGTACAGGACAGAGAAAAATGTTTGAACTGATGGCGACACAAAATTTTTCAAAGTTCATGTAAAGCCATCAAATATATGTTGAGATATTTCAATCAAAACGAAATGGGAACTTGCTGGTGGCGCTAAAGGAAAAATCAGGGGATCACAAAAGTCTATCGGGTTCATCCTGTGACGAGGATATATGACTGTTACAAATTTTGAGCTAATCTAGCAGGATCAGAGAAAACTTTGAGGGTGCTCGATTAGGTCAAGGGATCACTTAATTCATTGTGATTCATCCTCTGGGGAACATGAACAGAAATGGGAAACTTAATAGAAATCTACCATCAGACAGATATTACCATCTTTCATTTATATGTGCTAAAACATTGTTGAATATTTTAATACATTTATACAGAAAAATATTTCCATGATTAATAATAGCAGGGTGAGGATATTAAGTAGGTGTTGATAAAAGTTGAAAGCAGTAGCTGTGGATTTGCCCTCTGGGCCTCTGACATACGCTCTAATCTCTATTTGTCTACTGTCCAAACCTGTAGCATGTTCTTCAAACACTGCAGGGTCCCATTGACCTGACTGCCTGTCTGGGCATGTTTGTGTGCAAATGATTACTTGCTTTCCTTTTAGGGTGTGTGTCTGTGTGTAGATGCCTCATTGATCAAGAGAATCGGGGTTAGAGGTTGAAGGGTCTCTGGTTTCTATGGTGACCAGAGCGGACCGGTCGATGGTAATATGGCTCTTGAGTTCAGAGGGCATGAAACTCTCACACACATTCTCTCTCTCTCTCACACACACGGTCTAATAGTTTGGTGTCATTCTTCATGACTGTAAAAGTCAGACCATCTGCCCCCATCACACACACACACACACACACACACACACACACACACACACACACACACACACACACACACACACACACTTTATCTGTACCTTCCCGTCCCATTAGCCCCAATGGCATTGGGGCCATCTCAATATTCAATCTCTCCCATGGCCTCAAACAATGAACAGCTTTCAGCGAAGGTCACCCACATTATGCTCAAGTGTGGGTGTGTTCATGGGCTACTGTGTGTCTGTGTGTGAGAGAATGCCAGCTACTTGCCATTCAGAGTTTCTCACAGTCGGGTGGATTTTCTTTGCTCCGCTCAAAGAGCCCCTCCCTCCTCTCCAGCACTTAGGCCATGCGGTCAACCACTCTTCCACTTTTTCCTCCCCCTCTGGTTCCCATCTTCTCTCTCTTTCTTTCTTTCTCTCTCTCTACTCTTTCTCTGTCCCTCTTCCTCTTTCCACCCTTATTCTTCTTCTACCTCAGTTTTTCATTCTCCATCTTGATCCCCCCCCCCCTTCATCGTCTACCTCTTCCTTTGTTTCCCACACCCTGCATTAACAGCTGCTTAGACAGGTTAAACACAAACACGCACCTCAAAGCATTTATCATTCTGCAGCCCGCTTTTCACATGTGCTCACATGCAGCACTGGCACCATTGCATCCTCTCTTGTTACACACGCATGCGCACACACTCACATGCATACACAGTGCACACAGAAAACACACACTTACCCAGCTCCTTCATATATTCGTCAAATTTCTCGCTTTCCTTGAGGTTCCATGTGCCAACGAAAGCCTCGGCCATGTCTGCAGCAGTGTGGAGGAATCAGGGTGTGAGAGAGAAAGAGAGGGAGAGAATGTATGAGGCGCCAAAGTGGGGGAGCGACAGAATGAGAGAAGAGGGAGAGAGACAGAGAATGTAGTCAGCACCTCACACTGCGCTGCGATCCTACTGGTGGATTTATACCGGCTGTTCATGATGTCATCAGACTGTGCGGAAAGTGCAGGGGGGAGGGAGCGGTGAGGAGCGAGGGGGGTTGGAGACAAAGACAGAGAGAGACAAGTGTGATATACTTGTTTCTCCACATATGGCTACCATGCAAATAAAGTATATTTGAATATGAATTTTTCTTATGATTTGTTTGCATCAATTTGTCTGTAGTATTCTAGGCAGTATAGTAATGAAGTTGTATTGCATAGTGTAGTGTACAGGTATGTTGTATTTTCTTACATTCTGAATGATTACACAGACAATTACAAAGCTTGCACAACATGCTTTGGTAAAAATGTACAAATCTCTGTTCAGGGTAATATCGCAAATTTGAATTTGAGCATTTGAGAAAGAGTAAGAGAGGAAAGATCAGAGAGAGCAACAGGCCCCCCCCCCCAAGCTTAAGAGAATAAAAGGCAGAGTAAAGAAAGGAGAGGAGGAGGGGCTGATGAACAAGCCCCCACTGTCACAGATAGAGAAAGAGAAGAAAAACAGATTGAGCCTCAGGGGGGAGGGGGGGGGGTTGATTGATTGTTTTGCAGGGGGGTGGGGGTTGAAAAGAATGTCATGATAGTCCTCACAGCCCCTCTTCCTGCCTCACTATGTTTCTCCTCTGTGATCCCTCTTTCGCTGGTTTTCCACCTGGTTTTCTGCTGGTTTGACTTTGACTGACCTCAACCTAGTCTGCCAGAGCACAGAGGGTAACCAAACATGTGTGTGTGTGCGTGTGTGTGTGTGTGCGTGTGTGTGTGTTGTGCACACTCGCACGTGATGGCAGGGTAAGCTGTGGTCATGCGTGTGAAGATAAGGGCATTGGAAGGTTGGTGTGTTACTACAGTGCTTATTTGGCACAGACACACAGAAAGTTGTTTTTGATATTCAGGAGGACAATGCATCAGCTTCAATTCATTCCATGGTGACTCACAATGAGGCTTGTTGTCAACAAATCCCATGAAAATACTAAAAGCAACAATGAATCAATCCTGCTCACGTGTTGCTTGTGTGGCCTGGTATAGTATTTTCCTCTGTGCCACACACCTAGATTGTTGTGCGAATGTGCATTCACCCACAGCTGCTAATAGTCCCCAATAAATGTGCCATTTACTCCTGTTCATTTTTTTAAAAATGAAACTATATATATTTGTGAGCCCCTTTTAAAGATTTGCATCTTCATAGGGAAAAAACATGACACGTTAGGAAAGTGAGAAAGTAATGAGGGACAAATTTATGAAAAATATTTCACAGTTTATCTCCCCTGACGTGTCTTCCCCTAGTTGTCCACCAGATGTATTTGGACTTTCCCTCCGTGAGGTGCGTTCGACATCTATTTTGGCTGACTCCGCCAGCTGCCTCGATGGACAGCATGAACTGCAGGTGACTGCAGGGGTGACGTATAAAAAGACTGCAGCGCAGTCGGACACAATCTACCTCCCGCGGAGCATGCGAGCTCAGTACACCTGTGTCACAGCAACAGGTTGTTCACACTACTCATTGCGGAAATTCTGCAGAGCTGTTTTGTGTTTTGTTTTTTTTTTAACTTAAAAAATATGAATGTTACCCTCATGTCAGACTGCTTTGCAAAGCCTATACATAGGCTACTGTTCAACCAAAAATATGTTGTTCTAAACATTTTCAGGCCACACACAAGTTTACATCTTTCTTTTGACACATTTACACGTGGAATACCTGCCAGAACAACATGTAGAGAGAGATCACAATTTCTATTTATTTGTTTTCTTGAGAACCATGGACTTCAGAATACTGTCAAAACAAGGGCCAACATGTTGCCAGGAGAGTGAAATATGACCCATAAAGGCATTACTTCTTTTACAGTAACAAAGTCCTGAACTAAACTGTTTTTACAGGTTTCTTGCTGGAAATGAAAACTCAAGAGTTGGTGCCCATATGTAACAAATGAGCTGGACACAGGGGGAAATAGCAAACCTGGATCTGTCTAGAGCAAAGGTAACAAAACCCACCTACCAGCACTTCTACAGCTCATGAATTAAAGTTTGTATCATGTTTGTTTAATTTCTCAAAAATCAAAGTGTAAAAATTATAAGTTGTGGTTTTACAGTGGTTTGTGTGCTGGACTACTTCTAGGCCTGGTGCAGTGATTTTCCAGTCCTTGTGTTAAGGTAAGCTAACAGGCTGGTGGCTGTAGCTTCATATTTAGTGGTAATGATCTCCTCATCTAGAAAAATAAATGTATTTCCCAAAATGTCAAACAATTAAACTAATTCTAATTTTAAAGGGAGTTCAGGGCATAATCCCTAAAAATGCCTATTGAAGATATGAGGACAGGCCAACGTGTCCTCACCGGCCATAAATGTCCTCACACTGCAGGGCTATATTCAAATCAGTAGCCCCCAAGATAGATACAAGAGCGAGCACGCATGCACACACACACACACACAAAAACAGCAGCATTCATTCACAGACACAAAAGTCCACTTATCATCTGTCTGTCTCACTGTCTGATGAAATTCCCCTATCTGCAGATGGTCAGATGGTCACTGAAAGTTGTGTAATAACAAACAGACATCAAATCACATACACACACACACAAATGCTGGTCCCCACAGGTTTAGATAGTCGGACCCCACAAGTATAGTGGGTTCCCTGTTTCCACACACACACACCACTGAAACAGCAGGAGGAGAGCTTGGGAGAAAGAAGTCAATAGTGAATACTGTTACATCACATCACACCATGTTACACACCCTGTCCCACTGCCCTTGTCCTCCATTGGCCTCCCCTTCTCGCTTGTCTGTTACTGTGTCTAAAGTGGCACATGTTTGTGTGGTGGAACGAATCCATGGATGTGTGTTGGTCCGACATTTGACATAAACAGGTGTGAGGGAGACACATGGAAAAAGAGAGAAGGGGAGAGAGAGGAGGTGAAAGGTGAGAATCATTTATCCCTGGCCTGCAATATGTTAACAGGCTGTCTGTTGCTGTGTAAGTATCTTTCAATGTGTGTGTGGGTTTGTGTTTGATCTTACGCAATACTATGATATAGTGCTCTAGGATGCCACTGTGGTCATAACTCACATTAAACTGAGTAGCTTCAGGCAAAAACACTTCTAACACATGTATGGTAAAAGCTTTAGCTAGGCTTGATAAAGCCATACATTCTAATGCTAAATAAGTACTATTTATCACATGAATGAGTAACACTTGTATGATTGAGTACATGAGCACTATCTTCATCCTGTTAGTGAAGAATTGAATTATCTCAGTTTACTTTCTATTGAGCTTCGAACTTTGAACTGTGTGTAAATCAAAAGATCAAATTATTCAGGCTAGACTGCTGTTGAGCGAAGACCTGATTATAGCCCCCACACTGTCCAGGTAAACCCAGCGCAGCCTGTTTGGCATTAACACAGAGAACTTCAGCCAAGCAGGCATCTGTAAGTGTGTGTGTGTGTGTGTGTGTGCGTGCGTGTGTGTAAATATACACTGAGCTGACATAAGCAGAAAGCTGATGGGCCTGACTGCTGAACAAGGTTGAATCCCCGAACAGCTAAAGGAGTGTGAGAAAGCCATAAAGCAAGGAATGCTGATACTTCTTCCAGCCTTTCCTGTGCATCTGTGTGTGACTGGGTGAATAACGCAGCTAAATAAACATCTGGACAGTGCCACACCCTTCTCTAACACACACCCGTTGGTTTGTTCATTCACTCATTCTGCAGGCTCTTTGCAGGCTCTTTGCACTTATCTGCACTCATTTGCACTTAAGTTAATTACTTGAATGGAGGGGTGGAGGCTTGAAGGGCATCATGACTGTGCGCGATTCAGATTACAGTATGAATGGTAGCTTTTAAACATTTTATTTATATAATAAACCTTCATACCTTTATTTATATACCTTTTAATAAGGTAGCTTGTATAAAGAGCATGTTAGCTGTAACTCGCTAATTATGCAATTGTGTTTTTCTACAAGGCGAGTGCTCAAACAGTCCTTTGCAGGGAGGCTCCCTGAGGAACTGAAGAGCTCGTTATAAAGACAGATGAAGCATAATGCTTGAGCAGGAGAAACACCAATCGGGGATTTTTTTTTTTTTTTACAACCTGGCAATCAGAAAGTTGTTGAAGTTGCTAGCTCATAACTAATTCATAAAGCGGCGGTGTATAGTTTTTTTTATAATCATAAATAAAGTCATTACGACGTATTAACCCTTGGATAAAGAGTGCCTTATTAGATAGTGGTACCATATGTTTGTAGTAGCAGTTGTTGGCATGCACTGAACAAATGCAGCATAGTGTGTGCGTGCGCGCGCGTGTGTATTACCTCTGCAGATGGGCCTTACATTGCATTCCTTGATTTGTTTGATGAATCCTCTGGTGAGCTAGCAACAAGCTGAAAAGGAGGAAGAAAAAAAAACCCAGAGGGATAGAGTTATTCAAGGACACCGCACTGAGTCAGTCTGACAGACTTCCCACCCTCTTTGGAATTCATGAGGTACACAGAAAGTTGTCAGAATCAAATGGATATCGCACTGCTGCATGCTGCTGAGGGATTTCAAATAATACAGACTAACTATGATGTAATGAGAAATTAATGTGATTTCTGTTTATCTAGCTGGACAGCCCTTCCAGGGAACCGCTTGGCCTTATGGCTGCAGTGACATAATGTAGGTGCACTTGCCTCCTCTGCTGGCCAGACACTGGTAGTGCACTGTAAGTATACTATCAGCCTGCGGGTGGTACTGGCTCCGTATTGATTTAGCAGTTGTGGGAAAGATATTACAGCCATAAAATCCCCACCACCGGCAATGCATGTCTGAGAAAATTAAATACTGCAAATTACAAAATGACCACCAAACACAAAATACATAAAACAATACTCAATGGTAACACTTTACTTTAAGTCCCTCTATTTAGCACTCATGAGCAGTGTGTAAACTCTTAATGGTTTATAGTACAGTATAATGTTAAGCAGATGTGTTTATGGATTTGTCAACAACTATTAACCCCCACACACACACACAGTTTGACATAACTCATAATAATATTGTGTCACGTTGTAGTGCTACAGAGACGACAAATCATATTCTCCAGACGTAAAAGAATATCTTTGTTTGGTATGAGACAAAAAAAATGTCACATCATCATTTTTATATTTTTTTCAGTGAAAATGAAATGCAAAAACAACCATTCCGAAATCTCATATAGCAATCGCTATATTTGCCAAAATAATTGCAACATGATTTATTTTTATATCATGCAGTGCTAATAGCAATGATTAAATGTACATTAAGCTGCTGAAGTTTCTGGTATAGGCAATGCTGGAAGGTAACATAATTGTCACCCTTCTTTTATATCACTCCCATCTCTTTCTCTTCTGGTTTACTCTCAGTTCCCCACTATTGCTCTGTAACTGAGGTGCATAAAATTAATTTATAAAATGCTTAAAAATAACATAAGACACTTTAAATAAGGGAAATATAAAGAAAAAAAAAAGAAATGATTATGGATTAACAACTGTCATGTTTTTCACTGGAGTAAACACACATTGTTAAGTCGCAGTGGTGAGTCCAGGATATGGAGCCGCAGTAGGAGTTGTTGCTTCCTGATCCAATATTAACAGTATCCTTGGAGACAGAGCCAGGGGGGGCCGTGTAATCGGGGATCAACACTGTGTGTGTGTGTGTGTGTGTGTGTGTGCTTGTGTGTTTCAGTGTGTGTATGTGGGTGTTTTTCTGTGTGTAGCAAAGTATTGGATTCCATCAGTGAGACTATGGTAACATCCCCTGAGACTGGCAGTCTGCCCCCCTATCCCCCACCCATCCTTGTCAGCGTAATTTTTCACCATAACTTTCCCCCAGTTAATGTGTAATAAAGGGTTTTTTTTGTCTCTTTTTTATATCATGAGTCTAACCAGAAAAGGTTTCTCACAAGGGCAGTTGCTGCCATTGTCATTGCCATTTGGACACATAACTGGAGTCATGCCATCTGTACTGCTTCTGGGAATTTGTTGTTTTTAACAATTGAGGAGTTTACTCTCTAGAAATACAAAATTAATATGCTGTGTTGTGAATTTGTAATAATTTTTAAATAATGTTAGGTACTTTTTTTATTTTTTATTATTAGATAATCAAAGTAGAAAGCTGAGGGAAAATGAAAGAGGTGAGAGATGGGCAATGGTATGTGATTGTATTTTCATTATTTCAACAACAATGTTTTCAAACCTTTTTGGCTTGTGACCACTTAAAATGAGGCAATGATTGCAGTTCCTCATCACTGGTTGCATATGTCTACCAGTTATATCCAAATGAACTAAAGACTGAATTTTGTCCTGCATTTGTTTGAAACATTTCTCCAGAGTCATGAGGAAGGGAAAATATATTGTAATTTACAAGAATAAAGCAAAGATTGGCTTAAAGTCATGTTGTAGAAAAGAAAATTTCCAAGTCAGGTCAGTCAAGCCCAATATCACAAATAACAAATTTGTCTCAAAGGTAGCACAAGTTTCTTGTGTTTACCTTAAAAATATCTCATTTCCTCTTCCATTTATCATCCCAAGGCCCCTCTAATTTCATCTTTATTATCCTTGCTCCTTCAGGCTTAGTGTTATATTTGTTAGACTTCATAAATAAGGTGAATGAATGAATGATGAAATAATTGAATATAATTAGGTCAAATTGATTGAGCATTTATACATACCTGGTACTACTCAGAGGGCTTTAAAACAGCCTGTAGACCACTGGTTGGCAAATAGTGGCCTGTAGGCCAAATCCAGCCCTGCAACAAAAATATTTGGCTAATGAAAGTTCTCTTTTATAGCTTTTATAGCATCAAAACCTTTGCACAATATTTCATAAATCTACTGTAGGCAATGTACAAAACTCATGTAAATCAAAGCAAATATGACCAACCAGCTTATAAGAATAAATGATATGCATCAACAACATCAACAGTAACACAAGTAGCTAACAGAAGCTTGCTGTTGAAAAAAAAAAAAAAAACCAACACCAGAACTTTCATTCAACCATAACTGAAGCAGGCCACTGTTGTTCATGGTGTATTTATGTGTAGTCTCATAGTGCAACAGGTAACATGTATTTGCATGTCAGTTTTTGCTAAACGACTGTGGACATAAGTTGTCAGTGCTCTCTTACTAATTGGACCTTGGCCTCTGCCTTCAGATAATCTTAAGATAAGTTTAATGCTTAAAATTCAAGATACTCAAACAGTATCTGGTGGCAGGCCTACCTATAACAGGTGTTTATTATGTAAGAGCAGCAACCTTAATGCAGAGGTGTCGTTTACCTCGTTTCACTTCTGTGGAAACTTTCACCAGAAACTCTCACACACACAGAACGTGTCAATTACTCACAAAATAAAATGTAACTCTTCCGGGCAGCTCGTTCAAAATAAAACCTCATTGCTGAGCATAGCTCGCTATCTACTAGCTTAAAGTACGTCAGTAAATGAATATAGGTGTGTTCATAAAAATTTGGAGTAAATGTCAACCACGTGTGTATTCAGAAAGTGTGTTGGTCAATAGATATGACACCCATACCCCAATGTGAAGTTAGTCAAAATTATTTTATTTTGATGGTGAAATCACTTAGCTTCCGGTATTTCTCTTTCACCAGCTTTTCAACTTGACGTGTGTCCATGGCAACCACTGTAGCTACACCAGGTCCGGTCAGCTTGTAGCGCATCCCGTTACCTCTCCTGGAAGCTAACAGCCGAGGATATGACCGCTGCAACTCATAGAGAAATAAAAGTCAACAAAAAAATAAGGGTCACTGAGTTTTTGCAGCTAGTTGTGTTTTGTTTTGGAAAGATATGACACCCTCACAGAGAGCCCGATATGGATGCGAAGCAGCGCGTAATGCTAAATGGAGAATGGCAGGTGAGTGATGGCCTGATTGAACTTATTTTACTTAGTTAAAATAATTTATAACTTCTGAGTATTATAGTCAAGACTGTTACATATAATAATCCGGATTTAAACTGGAATCACTAACTTTTCTGTGAATAGTAGGGTTATGCATTAACTAGACCAGATACACGCTAACATTAATATTTCTAAAGGATTGTGACCCCATCTGAGCAGTGAAAATTATAAATATGATTTACTTGACACGTTATTACGACAAGACATTATTACCACGCACGCGCACACACCTAAAGGTCACAGGACCCCCAAGAAAAGGCTGATTCAGTCTTCCTTGACTGGCCACTGGCTCTTTATGAGCTGCTTTAGCTGTTGAAGGACACGGAGGTTTTCTATGTCCACTGTGCAGAGCTCTCATTGTTACCTGTGTGTGGGACTGTGTGTTTGATTATGTGTGTGCTTTTGCTCACTCTCAGGGGGCCAGTGGTGTCTTGTTAAAAAGGGGGCCCTTGCTCAGAGGTTAGAGGTATAGGGTCTTGTGTTTCTGTCCGTTGTTCTGCATCTGGAAAGAAAACACAACACAAACCCCCCATTGACTGGACAGATAACATCTCTCCATCTCCCTCAATGCCAGAAAGTAAAACGTCAAAGATGCTGTGTGTCTCTAATGCTTCATTAATCATGCAGATTCAACTGAGCCCTAACCAGGTCAAGCAAGCTTTTGTTTAGGTGTGTGTGTATGTGTGTGTGGGTTTTCATGACTTAAGGAAGCCTAAATAATTCAGCCGATGGGGCAAAGTGCTTGAGGAATCTCAAATGGCTCTTGCACTCCATGTGATGGAAAACACTCAAATCTGATCAGCCGGATTTGTTTTCACACAGATGCGCGCACACACTGACACAGGATGAGGAACTGGTGTTGTGTTACTTATGAGTTTTGCTTTGTGTACAAGTCTACAACAAACCCACCAATGGGGTGATGACGTCAGTGTTAAGTACACTTTCAATAATCCAGTTCTTGCTTTCTGTTTTTGTTCTTCCACCCCTGTCCTCTCTCCCCGCTTCAGTTCCTCCTAATAACCCCTTTTTGAAGCGTCCTGGTGGGATACCCCAGCCATGGCCCATTCACCCCCACCCTACGGTACAGACCCACAAGTCTCACTTCCTACCCTCTCCTGCTCCTCACCTGCCTCTTTTCCACACCCGTCATGCAGAGGAGAGTGCAGAGCGGCCCCACCTGGTCACCATCGTCCGCCCCTGTGGTCAGAGTACACTGCGGAAGGTGAATTCAGTATTTACAATTTTAACTAAATGGTTAATAATTCATTTAACTTTAAGTAATAAGTTCATAATAAGAACAATGTTTGGATTGAGAGGTTGTGAAAAATAATTTCTATTCAGTAATAATGCATTTATAAATGTTCGTAACACAAGCCCCCATTGATTTTTCACATTAATAATAAAACTTTCAGGTATAAATGTATAGTTGTTAAATACAGCTGCAAGCAGCAATGTGGGGGCCAGGCAGCCCAGAGTTCCCATGAGAACGTCATGCTGTTATGTCTAAGGCATGGTTGTAAGCACTCAGTGCAAGTTTTATGTTGAGGAACTCAGGTGTTGATTAAAGATTAGCCTGAGATGTGTTATGATTTTTTGATTGGCACCTTTGTCGCCAATTTTGATTGGTTCTGACTGAAGAACACTTTTGCAAATCAAAAAGGTAACATACATTTTGTCAGGTTTGGTTTGAAGAACATCTGTGTCCATTTTGGTAAAAACCAGACAGGAATTTTGATTTTAAGGGAAAATGCAAATCAAAGGAATGTCCCCAATCAGTGTGCCAATTTTTTCAAAACTCCCATGGCAGAAGAAGTTTGAAGAAGAAAAGGTACACAGTGGGTTTCTATGCAGCTTTGCTGCTTGGCCCCCACTAAATGGATTTTGGTCTCAATGCTTGGCAGCTCTTTTCTAGAAGTGATGTAACAGTCTATAGGAGGGGGTTTCCTGATAAACCAAAGGGCTAAAAAGACAAATCAAGTGTCATGCTGGAGAAGGATAAACACAAACCAAAGAACCAACAGTATTTCTAATAATAGATTCTGACCAATTTTTAAAGCATGTGTAACTTATTCATTTTTTGATAAAGCCTTTAATTATAATGTATAAACCCCATCTGATGGGTTCCCTAATTAAAATGGTACCAAATTACCAACAGCTGATATGACAATTTAAAATGGGAAAGAATTCCATAACTAATTTTTGTGTCTCTAGGTAACAGTGCTGTTGAACCGCAGGGGTGTGGTGTCCTTCGAGCAACTGTTATTGGATATCTCTGAGGCGTTGGGGTTTCCTCGCTGGCACAAAGCCAAAATCACACGCCTGTACACGACCCACGCACGAGAGGTGAGGCTCAGCCACAGACACATTAACCTGCAACGGAGCCCCGGGGCAAAAATGTTCTGATGGGTCTCTTAACCACCCTCTGCAATGTATGCAGTTCTTTCCATGCTGGACACAGACCCTCTTCATGACAGGGCCTCAAAACCAGTCTTGGGCTCAATGCAGCTAATGCACTGATCTCCACTTGATACCCATCTATTGACTGGGGCAGATAAATTAAACATACAACACAGGAAGCTGAAATAAAGGGATATGCAGATACTAATGAGGATTTGTGAAGAAGTGTCATGCCAAACAATGCTACAATGCTTCTCAAAATCAAATTATTTCAGGGCCACTGGTCAGATTGTTCACTCCTAGGGGGGCCATTTGGACACTCAGCAGGGAGAAAAAACTCCAGTGTTACCGTTAAGGAGGAGGTTCAGATTGAGAGGTGTACAGTCATGGGCATCAGTCAGAATGCATCAGCCTTAAACTTTACTTTTCCAACACAAGGTTTATTTTTCTGAACAAAGAAGTTGCACTTAAACATTAAAGGGGGGGGGGGGGGGGGGCAAACACACATGGGTTTTCATCTGAAAGAAACAAATACAAAATTTATAGGTCAAGTCAAAACTAATCAAATGTCCATCTTGAGGGAATAAGGATAAATAACACTCAGTTCAACTATTTGTGTACATAGGATAAAACTAAAGAGAAAGAAATGTGCTTACCAGCACTGCCACCCCACGTGATGATCAGGAAAAAGAGTGAGTGAAAGGGTGTGCAGGGTTTAAATACGGAGTGAACAGGTGAACTCAATCAAGTAAATGAGGAGTGAACAAAGGGTGAAAAGAGCCAATCAGTGCTGAGGAAAGGAGAAAAAAGGAAGTTAGGTAAAGGAAAGAGAAAAGTAGTGTCAAAATAAAAGAAAATAGGAATCTTTACTACAGTTACAATAAATGTCAACTATGTACACTCTGAGGCCGCGCAACTCATCCCTTCATTTCCTGTTTCTGCTTTCATACTGCCCTGCATGGTCAGAAGTATAATGCTGTTTCAGATTGCATTCCTGGAACAACAGCTTTCTAAAATCTGTTCTTAACATTTTTGTCAATCTTTCTTCTTTTGTGTGCTCCAGGTCAACTTTTCTTTTAGAATACATAAAAAGAGATTTTTTGCTGTTTCTATGCTTTCTTACTAAAAAATTAAATTATAATAAAATAAAAGTATGAGGAAAAATCAAAAGGGTAATAATCAAAATATTTATTTGTGAGCTGGATGGAGTAGTTGATTCTTAACATGTCAGGGGCCTTATGACATTGTCTTGTCCGGATCTGAATGTCTTAAATGTCATTTTTTTCTCATTTTATTTCCATAGGTGAAAAATGTATGTGACTTCTTCCGAGGCGAGGTAGCCTTCCTGGCGCTGGGTAAGGCTCGTCCAGATCTGAGCAGCGTGCAGGAGGCTCTGGAGGAGCTGTTTCCAGACCATTCCCATTACCGCACTGACGCACTGCGAGTCTGGGAGAAAAGACTTAGTCCAGCACCAGATAAAGCTGCTAAGGCCGACAGTGGATACAGTGAGGGAGCAGATAGCAGTGAGACTAACCAAGAGACGCACCTAGACACACAAAATCATACGAATACACAGACACCTCACCATGTAGACACACAGCAGCATGAAACTTATAACTCAGGTGTTCAGAAGTCTCATAAAAAGAGCTGCAGAAAACCAGCTCACCTTCCTAACCACCTGCAGAGATTATATGTGAAGGGTGGGGTCAGAGAGAGACAGCCTTCTATCATTGGCCCATTTAAACATGAGGAGGGTCTTACGGAAGTAGAAATACCCTCCCCTACACTGTGTGAAAACTGCTTAGCAATAAGAGCTAAACATCAGGGTCCAGAACGGATCAATCCCCTATCAGGGAGGGTCCCACTTCCTCCTGTGTCAAGAAAACAAAAAGGTAGTCCTCATACAGAACAAGAGATGAGAAAGCTAGATGTTCCTGTCAGCCCTCTACCTCCTCAACCAGTCAGCAGGAATGAAGAGAAGAGTCTTGCACAGTTACAACTTTTAAAGCCACTTCCAGACGTGGGTCCAGCACAAAAAGAGGTACTGCAGAGGACAACCTTTGACCTTCCTTCAGACGGCAGTGATGTCACCCTGTCAGATATTGAGCGTTGCTATGAAATAGGCCGTGTGGTTGGAGATGGGAACTTTGCGGTGGTGCGAGAGTGCCGTCGTCGTGACAATGGGCAAACCCTTGCCATAAAGATAGTCGAACGCTCTAAACTGATTGGTCGAGAGCACATGATGCAGAATGAGCTGAGCCTTCTGGGTAGCCTGTGTCACCCTCGCATAGTGCGGCTGGTTGCGTACCACCACACACACCTTCACTCCTACCTGGTGATGGAGCTGGTGACCGGGGGGGATCTGTTTGAGGCCATCAGTGAGAGAGGGAAGTTTTCAGAGGCAGAGGCAGGACTGATGGTGTCAGACATGAGTGAAGCACTAAATTACATCCACTGCAAGAGCATCGTCCACCGAGACCTCAAACCAGAAAACCTACTGGTAGGTATCAGGGTTAGTGAGAGTGGAGTAGTGAATAAAAAATGTGATAATTCCAGTAAAAATATGTTGCTTTCAAAAATGTATCCTAGTGTCTCCTGGTTGGATCAATGGTACTGGCATGCTTTGCTGTCTGCCATGGTGTCTCTTTTTTATATTATCACTAGGGGGAGCCAAAGAGCAATATCTAGAATTCTTAACATTAACAATTTAACAATTCTTAACATTGTAGCTTTAATATTTTTGAAGCAAGATGATTGGTTACAGTTACACATGCATTGCCCAGGTATGCCTTCACAGTGATCCGGATGAAAGAAAAGGGGGCAGGACTGGTTAAAGGGGTCATAGTTTCAGTTGTTAACTACACAAAAAATTATTTTTTTTACTACTACTACTTGAATCACTATGCACATATGTATGGAGTTGAAGTACCACCAAGTTACTGCAAATTGTAGTTAAACTACTAGTTTAATTACATGTAATTCACTACTCTTCAACACTGGTATTGTGTCTTCACACTCACAAGATGTGAATAAAATTTGATCATAACTCACATTGTCTCAATCACTAATTATAGAGTACAGACAAGAAAGTCTTAGTTATGTGGTATATTTCCATGAAAATGTTGGAACATGACTATGATGTTTAGTAGTGTTATTGATTTTGACAGAATCATGCTATATATGGAATAAACTAATTAACTAACATACTAACCAAGTGACAGCAGTCTGTGTATTCAGCCTCAACTTTTATTCATCTTCTGCCAAGTTTCCCACACTCTCTTACTTTAACAAAATGCCTACAATTATTAGTTGTTGATATAAAGTAAACTCAGTATTTTGCAATATCCAAATGAAAATAGCAGTAACATAAGTTTTTCTTTCTGTTTCAAAACTATGTGGGTTCAGTTGGAGTTGTTTCAATTTTCCTCCATGCCTGACTCTGTTTCTGTCTGTACCTTGTTTTGTGTGTCCTCTCTCAGATAGAGCGCGTGGCAGCTGACATCTGTAGGCTGAAGCTGGGAGACTTTGGTCTTGCCATGGTTGTGACTGAACCAGTCTTCACCATATGTGGGACACCCACATATGTAGCCCCAGAGATTCTCTGTGAGACAGGTCAGTGGTGTTTGCTGCAGTATCAAACACCACTTTACTTTCCCTTTTACTTTTATATGTCTTCTTGTCACAAAATATGGGTGTTTTTCTTATTCAAACACTCCTATGATTCTTTTGTCTCTTTTGTATCTGAATTTGCAGATTATTTTTTTATTCTGAAAACAATTGTTTCTGATCTACCCAACAGGTTATGGTGTAGCAGTGGACATATGGGCTCTGGGTGTTATTCTCTACATCCTGCTGTGTGGCTTCCCCCCATTTCGCAGTCGGGATCGGGACCAGGAAGAGTTGTTCCAGCTAATAAAACAGGGACATCTCCACTTCCTGTCCCCCTACTGGGACACCATCGCAGAGGGTGAGAAGCACAGAACTATAATATATGCTGGCACAAAGGCCTATACATAAAAACATTCACACATAAATACACAATCCATTTTATATGCTATTCCATGTGTATGTGTGTTTCTGTGTGTGTGTGTGTGTGTGTGTGTGTGTGTGTGTGTGTGTGTGTGTGTGCGCGTGATTGTGTGCAGAAGCCAGAGGCCTTGTCAGAGCTCTGCTTCAGCCAGATCCAACAGTGAGGTTGACAGCACAGCAGACCCTACTGCACCCCTGGGTGAAGGCTATGGCTTCAAAGTGCAGGCAGAGGACGCTCACAGACAAAACACGGAGAAACACAGCAGACACTGGAGCAGAAGCAGAGCGAGTTCAGAGTCCAGCTCAGACCAATGCAGCAGAAACAATGGCAGACAAAACACCAGGACACACCAGCAGCGAGGGAGAAATCACACAAAAAGAGCTCAGCAGAATTGATGAGAGACAAACTGAGATGAACATAAGTGGAGGGCAAGATGAGGACAAAGCACCACAGCAACAATCAAAAGAGACAAGAACAGTTCACACCATATCTACACAGATCAAAGTGCTAACAATGTCAGAGGACTCACCTGGTCAACAGAAACCAGAGTGCACCTCTCCAGACTCTGGCTCACCCAACAGGGAGCCCAGCAGGCGAGAAATACAGGATCCAGGTCTCAAGTTGTCAAACACAGACAGGGAACTCAATCAACGTGATGCCACTGAACACCAAACTGAACTTCCATCCCAGATTAAGACATAGCCAAAACAGAACAGCTGACAGCAGTCACCATCAGATTCACCACCTTCAACCAATACAGCTGAATAAAACACAGCAGGTCATTCAACACAACACCACCCGTCCTCTAAGTCAGCAGCTTCTTCATCTCACTCTCCATCAGCAGAACCATGATGAGCCGAATCTTCACACCACCATCATACATCCACCCAAACAATCCTGACCTCACTATTAATCTTCTGTTTAACTCTGATTAGATCACAGTCTTCACTTTCATTGTTCTGGACAATACTGACTTCTTAGCAGCTGAATTCTCAAATGACCCACCGACGATGTGATGCACTCTCTTGGGATTGAACAGCATCTGATTGATGGGGCGAGATAAATCTCATAAATGTGTATTATTGATTTATCATACAGTCATTAATTGATCATGAGATGTTGTGTAATGTGTCCTTCTAGGACTGCAAGAGGGGGATGGAAGTAGAGAAGCACTAGAAACATATGTTGAAATTAATGGAACAGAGTTCAAGTAGGACTCAATACATATACATATTTTCCGTTTGTCATTGTTCTTTAAGTTTTGGTGTATTCATGAAAAAACTTTTCAGGACATTTGTGTTTTTGTTTCAGTTGACCGTCGTTTTTTTTTTTTTTTCTTGTGGCCAAACATGTTTTAGTTTGAGGATATGATATGTTACCATGTCTACCACTCCTATTCGTTGCTATTTTTGATTGCTTGTATTGTGACACTGACTGACCCACCCTCCTTTTATATTCCTAGAAGCCCATTCCTAGAAATCTGTCTTAAGATCCTTTTTCTGACATTTGTTTACTATACATTCATAAACTAAAAATATCTGTACCAAGAGGTTTTTCTTTTTGTCATTTGTTATTGCATGCCATCTTTGTGATAGTGTGTTTATGGTTCTTGATGTAATTGTAAAACTTTAACTGTGTGATACCAAACAACCAGGAAATTAGCAATCTGTGGAAATATTTGGAGAAATTAACATGTGGTGAAATCCAGTGGCTAATAATGGGAACTGCCCAGCATTCAGGACACAGTGTGTGACCACATAGAGATTCTGGGTAAACTGTGTGTGCATAGCTGAGGGTGGTATGGCTCCCTTGCCATTCCACACGGACCAAATAAGGCATATCTGTCTGTCCAATGGGAGTGGTTAGTCCTGTCCCACCCGATTGCGGACAGCTGAAACTCTGACATCCTGCCCCACCTACCCCCAAGTACACTCACACAACCCCCCAATCCCGTACACAGAGGCACCCCTCCCAGCCCTTGAGGCTGCTAAGCCACAAATCTGGGGCACTGAGGGGATGAAAAAGCTTATAAATGCTTCTGACCTAGTACCAGTGGCCAAGGGCAACTAAGGCTTTCTTTGATCACCATCGTTTTCTGGTGAAATTATTTATGCATCCTTAACATATACAAACACGGAGTCCTTTACAACCAGTTGAATCACTTTGATACAGAAACGGTGTATTTTGTCATAAAGTTTTGTTATTAAAGTTGTCAGAGTAGAGACAGCATTATTAAGGTGTTATAATACGGGCATTTGGCTCATAAGTATTGCAAAGGTATGAAGGATGCGTCCTATGGTGGACTGGCCTAAATTTGTCGCATATCAGGTTTTGGTCACCTTTCAAGTCCTGCCATACACTGACCCGCAGGTGCTCACTACGCATGCGCCTTTAAAAACTCTTTAAATACCCCAAGTCATCTGCCACAACAAAACATTCTGCTGTCAGCCAATTCACGGCTGTACACAAGTAGTTACTGGCACACAGAGGCCGTTACAGATACACGCAAAATATTTACTTTTAAATACGAAACTTATATTATTAGGCACGATCGAGAACCTGCCCGAGTAATAACGAATTTGACCCGGAGTCGTTAAGGCTGTGCAGGGTGAAGTCGGGGGAGACGGACAGGAAAAAAACAAAGATGGCTGTGTAGCCAGAGAGACGAGTCCCAACAGAAGTGTCTCTAGCCGCGGCTTTGATCACCGACAGGTCCCGTGAGTCCCGTGGACAGTCAGTCGGTACCGGAGCGGGGACATTAGACGAGCAGCCGAGCTGGGCCGCGGTGCACATCTTTGTATTCTGCTGTCATTGCGAATAACGGCGTCGAGAGCACAACAACAGCTGAGGGACGCCTGAGTTGTTTTTGTTCTGCCTGGGCAAAGGGAGAGGACTGCTGTGTTTTTGTCAACGTAGCTAGCACATAGTCTGCTAGCTTCACTGTAAGTCACCAAAACTAGTCAACATTTAATTTAGTCGTTATTACATTTTGCACATGATCTCGTTATTACACAATCATTGGTTTGTTAAATTTTCAAGTTCCTAAGTGTAGGGTAGCATTAATAATAAGTTAGTCCGCATTCCTTTCTGACAGCCTGCTGCCGTAGCGTTAGCCTGGCTAACGTTAGCTAGCTGTCAGCTGACCGTTAGCTTGACAGGTTGTGAGCTAGTCCCTAGCTAACCTGCTAATATTTCGGGTTCAGCGTGGTCGCGGCAGGTACATCTCAGACATTTCTAGACAGTCATCGCCATGTCTTCACTGGAAGAGAGAGACGTGGGCGTTGCGGCCGCCCCTGGCTCCTCCTCGGCCGGCCTGGGGGTCGGGGCCGTGGGGGCGGCAGTGGAGGCTGTCGCCGGGGTCGCTGCCATGCAGGAGGAGGTCGGGATACGACGAGAAGGGCCCGAGCCTGACGCAGACGAGCCACCCAAGAAGAGGGTGAAAATGCCCGAGGGAGAGTCAGGAAAGCTGGAGGAGAGACTGTACTCAGTGCTGTGCTGCACCGTGTGCCTAGACTTGCCCAAGGCGTCTGTATACCAGGTAAACGTGGTGTCAATCATAAAACTCCCTCCTCATAACCCCTAAATCCACCGTCAAACAACAGCAAAACAGCTGGAGCTCATACTAGAAGACCCCCATGTGTCCCAACCCCCAATCCCCTGTGTCAACCTGTTGAATGTATTGGCCAGCTCCATTTATTTTTAGTGATACTAGATCCAACACAGGCCCAAGTGTCTATACTGCAAATTGAGCCATGAGGCTGAGTCCAGACACACCCAGGCCTGGCGGTCAGCTGTGCAGGCTCAAGTTCATAACATTATACTGTGAATTATCCTCAAATAACCCTCAGCAAAAGCCACATCCCAGCCCCCACTCCCAGAATTCAAACATCCAGAATTCAACAAATATCTAAATTTTAATTATATATTTCCCTCCCCTTCAGTCCTCCCCAATATTCTCTTTAATGGCCTCAAACTGTTCTCTTCAATGTCAAGTGAACACATTTGTAATTACGGACTGTTCAGTTAGTCTAAACATTTACATACCCTGCTGTGTCATGCAGAACACAGTTATTTAACATTTATTAACAATACAGTGTAAACACAAGTTGACATTCCTTTCATACTTTCATACACAATTATTTTAACATAGACACATATAAAAATGTATTGATTAAGAAAAGTGTAATCAATAAATAACATTAGTCCTGTTAGTTTGTACATCCCACAGAATTTGGTCATTATTGACAGAGAAGACGAGACACTTCCAGTTTCCTCTCCTTTATAAAGTATTTAATAAGCTGTAATCTTGTTGTAATATTTTCAGTGGTTCAGACAATCTTTATTGTCATTGCTCTACTGTTGTTTGGCGACTTAAGCCAATCCATTGTTATAACTTATGCTGAAATTAGAATAGACTCTAAGGAATGATGCCTAGCTTTAGCCAAACATGTCTAATGGCTTTTTTCCCCAAATTGTGTTTTGAGTGGAGTTTCAGCTACAGTCCTAAAATAATCCCAACTTCTTCATAAACATTTTCCCAAAATACCTATTTCTTACGCAGTCCTAAATAATAGTTTTCAAATATATCACCACCCATGTAACACATTATGCAGGCCTTTTTGTCATAAGATTTGACAAGAGAAAGTTTAAATATCTTATTCCAATTTTCAAACTTCATCTTTTACAGCTTGCACAACTCATTTAAAAATCTCAGTAATTATGTTTTTCACTTAACTCACATATTTTGTTTTATTGACCCACTGACCTTTTTCCACCACAGTGTACCAATGGACATCTGATGTGTGCAGGCTGTTTCATCCACCTCCTGGCTGATTCTCGTCTCAAAGAAGAACAGGCCACATGTCCCAACTGCAGGTAAAAGAAGGTCACTGTAGACATTGAAGAGCACTTCCTGAGCAGGGCACATAGTAGCTACTCAGTCTAAATCAGAAGCAGCTGGGTACTTAAGTTAATAATTGTACTTACAGGGTTGGATGTGAACATCACTGTGTATCATTAAATATTACTTAATTTGAATATTGTTAATATTTAAGTTATATATGCGTTTTTGAGTATTAAGACAGTAGTACTGTCCACAGACACTTGGTGCCAGACAATTACTTTTGTGGCTAAATAATTTAGATGTTATTTACCGTTGGACCAATAAAATTACATTGATCCAAAATGTTTGATTTAAGTACTGATATTATTTTTCACGTGCTGTGTTAGGAACTATGTAATGTTAATATTGTGATCTTCAGCAGGAAAAACAAAAATGCAGTGATGACTGTCTTGTTAAGATGGCATGTAAAGCCACTCTCTCCACTCCACACACACTCCAAAACGTATTGTCATTTACACACTCATGCATGTTTTTTTATTTTAGTGTGACAGGAATGCACATTATTGAGTAGTTTTACCTGATGTGACAAATTATGGTTCAACATGATTTTCGAAAATCACATTTGCAATCATCATTAATGTGTGGGCACAGGAAAAAATAATAATAATTATCCTACAGTATATGTTGAACTTACCAGAAACAAATGACAAAAACATAATGTAACTTTTCTACTGCCCAGACAGCTGCTCGTGGTTGTGCATTGTTCACAAACTTGCGTGAACATACTGTGCATACCACAAATATTATATGCATGCCACTGCACTGAGGTATGATTCGTGGTTTTCTGTGTTTGTGTAGGTGTGAGATCAGCAAGAACCTGTGCTGCAGGAACCTTGCAGTGGAGAAGGCTGTCAGTGAGCTGCCGACAGAATGTACCTTCTGCCTAAAACAGTTCCCCCGCTCCAGCTTAGAGAGACACCAGAAAGAGGAGTGTCAAGACAGGTATACATGACACACACACACACTCACATACAACACACACAGACACATGCAGACAAACAGACACACTCACAAATTCATTGAAAAGCAAGAAGAAATATTCCATACTATACAGATTCACTTCTAAAAAGATTGTAAAATGTCTCAAAATTAGTTCAGATCTGTTTTCCCATAAATGTACCAAAACCATCAAATGAAACTGCTACAAATACTGACATCAACTGAAAGAAATGAAACAGAAACTTGAAAATGGAAGCTGTGCACATACATAACATAATTGACAAAATCACCAGTATGATTTATATATGTGTGTGTGTGTGTGTGTGTGTGTGTGTGTGTGTGTGCGTGCGCGTGCGTGCGTGCGTGCGTGCGTGCGTGCGTGCGTGCGTGCGTGCGTGCGTGCGTGCGTGCGTGTGTGTATTAGCCTGTCACATGGGGTTAATTTGGGGAAGATGGAAGAGTGTGTGATATGCGACTTATGAGGAGAGAAACGGCTGATGTGATTACAGACTGTGTGTTTGTTGTATGTGACGTTCAGGCCGTTTGAATTTGAATGCACAAAATCCTATGGGGTTGTTGCTATAGCAACGGGTGACCCTGCTTAGGACAGCTGTGTCTGTGCTAGTGTTGCCATGACAACAGCCATGGCAGTCACCAGGTGTTTTTGGTCAGGTCAGACAGAAAAATGTGCCGGTCTCCCGTGAGGCTCTGGCTGGGTTTGACATAAATATCATGTTGTTATCTTCAGGAATCCCACCATCATTTCTTTGAGGCTGGAATGAATCTTAATATGAAATTTAGTATTTAATATGCAGAAATTACAATCTGTGATTACAGGTATTTTACACTACTCTGTAAGAGTAGTAAATCCTGTTGCCTTTCAATGCCTTTAAGCAAAATGCTGAATCTCTAGCAGCTTCTTAGTAATATGTATAGGTGAAAAACATCAGTGTCGTTTTAATTATCCTTGGTTCACTACTGAAGCTAAACTAGTACCTTTCACATCATTAAAACCTTGCTTTTACTGTAGTAAAGTAACAGGTATTCACTGAAAAGCACCTATATCTAGGATGTAATCGATATGGATCTATGAGGTGGGCTCTGAGCGAACACTTATCATTAGTAGACTGTTAATTAGCCTCGGTTCACAACCTAGTTTAATTAGCACCTTTGATATTATTAGTACCTTCCACTCACTGCAAGAAAGTAGCATGTATTCATCACAAAGCACCTCTGTGAAGGAACAAATTTATATAAAGCCACATCTTTCCTTCCTCAAGCTTTTCTCTTAACTTACATTTTCCATTATGTTGCCAGGGTGACGCAGTGTAAGTACAAGAGGATCGGCTGCCCTTGGCAAGGTCCCTTCCACGAGCTGCCAGCACATGAGAGTGAGTGCTCCCATCCCACTAAGACTGGTACAGAGCTGATGGGAATCCTGGGAGAGATGGACCAGAACCACCGCAGAGACATGCAGCTCTACAACAGCATCTTTAGCCTGCTCTGCTACGAAAAGATTGGGTTTACAGGTATATACATAAACACAACAGAGAGATGAATAGAGTGCAGAAATATGACAGAACTTTTAGAGAGATTACTAGAAAAGTTGGTAACTATATAATTCCCTTTGCTTTCCTACTCTTTACCACTCTTTGCCTCCCACATATGACCTGTCTCCCTGTTTTAAAAACTTGTCTTCTACTTATGTGTCCATCCAGAGGTGCAGTTCAGGCCGTACCGCACTGATGACTTCATCACTCGTCTGTACTATGAAACACCGCGCTTCACTGTCCTCAACCAGACGTGGGTGCTGAAGGCCCGCGTTAATGACTCCGAGCGCAACCCCAACCTCTCCTGCAAGCGCACACTCTCCTTCCAGCTCATCCTCAAGAGCAAGGTACATGTATCACCCTGTGTTTATTTTTAAATTTTCATTGCTAAAGTTTTCAGGGCTCAAGATGCATCACTGACCACCAGTCTCTAAAAGTTTGGATCTGATCTGACGGCTTACAGAGTGATCATCATCTGTTTAGTGATCAGAGTTGAGGGGCCAGTTTTGCTGCCATGCAAGTTGCTTTATTCTCATCAGGCTATCGATGAATTATGTCAGTGAAAGATATGAACAGGGGTTCCTGGGCTTAAGCCCCTGACTTTAACAATAAGACACTGCTGCCCTGTAATCCTTTTATACTGGGACGCAAGGGTGTAGGTTTGCATATGGACAGTAGCGACATGTCCCTACCAATATTTTGAGAGGACAGAGTTGTCCCTACAAATATTTGAGTGAACTTGTTCGCACTATGTTTGGGTGAAGTCATATTAGATCATTCCATTGTGCACAACAAGAGGCTACGTCTCCAAGACAACCAATTTAGGCATGCTGGCATGTGATTGACTGAAAGGGCGGGGGCTATCTGAAGGCCCACGTCATGTGAGAATATCAGTGGCACCTAACGTCACCTGAAAAATGTCAATTGATTTATGCCTGACTATACTATAACTTTTTTTCCTTACTATACTATGACTTCCTGGGCCTGGGGCCTTTCTCTGTGGAGTTTGCATGTTTTTCTTGTGCACGTGTGGGTTCTCTCCGGGTACTCCGGCTTCTTCCCACAGTCCAAAGACATGCACATGAGGTTAGCTGTATAAACTAAGGCATACAAAAATCATCAATATATATATAAATATATAAGAAGTATAAGTATAAAATGTCATAAAATGTCATAAAACGTCATAGTTTAGTAAGGCATTAAATGTTATAGTATAGTATGGCATAAAAATATCATAAAATGTCATAGTATAGTAAGGCCTACAAATGTCAAAAAACATCACAGTACAGTAATACATAAAAATGACAAAGCCAGCTCTATTTTTGTCCTTATTACATTCAGACACACAGACACACACACATGTAAGCAGCAGTGCAAGTTCCATGATCTTTAGTAAAAGGCACATGTACAGCCATAGTGAAATGAGTGAGTGAGTGAGTGAGTGAGTGAGTGAGTGAGTGAGTGAGTGAGTGAGTGAGTGAGTGAGTCTGTCCACTGGCATAGAGACAAAGCATTAAAACACAGATATACAGGAAGTATTGCCAATATGTCAGACACCAGAGTCAAAAATGCAGTACAGGTCAGGCTCTATACTCAGCAGATGTTCTGGCTAATACATTGTGTTTCTGTATGTGTAGGTGAACTCTGCCCTGGAGTGCTCCTTCCTGCTGTTGAAGGGGCCGTATGACGACGTGCGGATCAAGCCTGTCATCCACCACCACTCCTTCAGCAACGATGCCAACGAGACCGACTACGTCCCTCTGCCCATCTCTGATTCGGTGGAGTGCAACAAACTGCTGGCCGCCAAAAACATCAACCTGCGCCTATTCATCTTCCAAGTCCAAAAATAAAGAGTGAGGGAAGAAGAGGAGGAGGAGGAGGAGGAAGAAGAGGAGGAGGGGGAAGAAGATGGAAAGGACAAGGAACAAGAAGAAGGGTGATGGAGGACGAGGGGCTAAGAGAGAGAGGATCTGATGAAGATTAAAGAGAGACACCACTGAACCACTGATACCTCTTAACACCTACACACACACACACACGCAAATACATGTATATACTCACTCACACAGACACACACAATCACGCAGGGTACACACGCCACCACACACATATATACACACATACATACATACATACATACATACATACATACATACATACATACACACGCACGCAAACACACACACACCACTAATTACACTTACCTCCTTTTACAAGATAGTGAGACCCCTTGCTTGGGGGAGCTGTGAGTTGCTTTGGAGAGGGGTGGGCATTGATATGGGATGGAGGGGTGGAGTGAAACCTGCGATGGCACAGGTGGGGGGTGTCGGGGGCAGCGAGTGGGGGAGGGGGTTGTGACATGGTTGGTGTGTACCTGAGGTGGCACTCTGAGGTCAGGCTGTGTCTGACCTTTGACCCCTGACACCCACAGCCAAAGGTAGCACACACACCAACCAAAGCAGGATTTGCTGGGTGCGTTTGTTGCGTGCCTGTTTGTGTGTTTGTGTGTGAGAGAGACCGACAGAGAAAGAGAGTTAAGTGACGGACCCTGGAGTGCGGCCCACACTCTGCTTACATGTTCAAATGTCCCAAACACACGTGATAATGTGAAACTAGAGCGTCTGACTCTACTGAGCTGTTCTTTGGACATGTGAAGGGATGTTGAGTGTGTATGTGTGTGTGTATGCGTATGTGTGTGTGTGCGTGCGTCCCAGCCAGCGTGTGTGTGTGTGTGCGTGCGTGCGTGTGTGTGTGTGTGTGTGTGTGTTTGTCTTTTTCCCGTCCCTCCACAGTTTCGTCAACAATTTCCTTCCGTTTTGGCAAACTTTCCCCTTTTGTGTCCCAGACTTTGCCAGAACAGAGGAAAGACGGCATCCCCACTTTAACCCTCTTTTACCTTTCAACAAGAGGAGAGATGGCCTGGCTGCATGCATATTTTAGTTTCTTAGACTTATTCCTCCAGCTGTGGTTATATTTAACCTTCAACACTACTATAATTTTTATTTCTCTTAACCCTAAATATCTAAGTACCTGTGAACTCTTTTCTCTTTAGTTGGGTTTTAGTGTGTGAACAGCTGCCTGTGTGAGTGTGTGTGAGCAAATCACAACTGTGAGATTCCTGTAAACATGTCCTAATGTGAACCAGAGTACGATCGTTAGAGTACAGAACCAGCAAGACTGGATTACCAACAGACCTTCAGGGGGCCCCACGTTCACTGCGTATCAGTTGTAGGACTGCAACTATTTTAGTTATTACCTGCATATTATTCTCTCAAATATTAATTTAGTGTATGAAATGTCAAAAGTAGTAAAAAACCAGATCCCAAACTGACATCCTTGATCTCTAATTAAGGATTCATCCTCATATTTGAAAAGTTGGAACCAGCAGATGTTTGGCATTTTTGCCTCAAAAGTGACTGAAATAATGAATCTATTATCAGAATAGTTGCTGCTTGATTTCCTTTCCAGCAACTAATCATGCAGCTGTAGTCAGTTGCTTAATTGTAATTTGATTTCTTGTAAATTTGATTGGGAATTTGCGCCGCTACAGTACCCTATCAACATTATTATGTAATCTTATGGCCGTGTGTCAAAATCTAGGTTCACCACCTTTATTGTTTTTTATATTGTTCTCTCATGGTGCATTTTTCTATCTATTTTTTAGAAAGTGTCTATTTACAAATTTTGTTCAAAGATGTTCCAAATCTCAAGGTAGTCATCACTGGAAATATCATTTCCTGCCATCATGACAGATGGTCAGTGATGCATCTTGAGCCCTGAAAACAATGACTCAATACTTTTTTGCCATCAGTTTGAAGAGTCGGCAGCTTTCATCCAAAACTAGAAGTGTTATAAATCAGGTGAAACCTGCTGTTTTGGTGCATTTTTCCTAAATGAAATTGTGTTTGACTAAAATGATCACATAAGCGACACAGAGAAAACCTGGGGCCAGGTAGTATCCCAGTATAAGAGTACTGGTTAGATTCTGGGTCTTTGTGCAACATATAATGAAGCTGATGGGAACCTGAGCACAACAGGAGCCCAACTGCGAATTTTACTCCCAACCAGGCTAATCCGGCCATGGGGACTAGTCAACAACAGCAACGGAACGAAACACAAATGGTGAGTGCTGAGTCTCAGGGCGCTCTGGATTTCCTTGTGCGCTCGGAGCTCAACAGCTCTCTGGAGAGGACTTTTTTCTGGAAGATCAGACTTTGGATGGTGATGGTTTGTGTGTGTGTGTGTGTGTGTGTGTGTGTGTGCGCGCGCGCGTGCGTGCATGCGTGTTTGCGTGTGCGTGTGTGTGTGTGTGTGGCAGGGGTTGGGATGGGGGGTTTTACCTTACCACAGTGACATATTAGTGTTAGACTTTCTTGAACGAGAACAAGAAGATGTTACTTAAGTAGATTCTACTGTAAAGCAGATAGATCTCTCTCCTCCTGACCTCTACTTCCTGTATTTCTGTGTTTTAATGCTTCGTCTCTATGCCAGTGGACTCACTCATCTCACTATGGCTGTACATGTGCCTTTTATTAAAGATCATGGAACCTGCACTGCTGCTCACGTGTGTGTGTCTGTGTGTGTGTCTGAATGTAGAAAGGACAAAAATAGAGCTGGCTTCGCGAAACCGTTGGTCGGTATAAATTATGCATTCAGTACTGCAGTTATGAAATCTAAATTTAATTTTAAAGCCTTGTGTGGATGATGGATATGTTTCATTGAATTTGATGGGGAGAATATGAATCAGTTTCAGTACAAAATGAATTACCCACCATCAGAACAATAACACATTGGCTTATCAGTTAATGCTTGCTTGAAAGTGAAAGTAGTTTCATCACTGGTGTAAAATGTTGGCTGCCACAAGACTGAAAAGGGGACGCATTTTATATGATAGTGTTCCTGTGTGTTTGTAAAGACTAATTTAGATTTGAGCTGTTTTTAGCTAGATGTTGATCTGTATATTTGACTAAACCTTTATATTTGTGACACTAGAAAAAGCTCAGGTGTAAATAATACAAGTGAATTATGATTGAATTCTACTAGCTGCTTCAGGTTAAAGGTCCTGGTGTTGTTCATGCCCCCTCACCGTCACACTGTCATGTCTTACTGGGACACTTTAATGTTATTGTTAACAGTTGTACTTCTACTATGACAAGTCAAAACGTCTGCTGTAAAAAAAAAAAAAAAAAGATCTGCTGAACAGAAATTGTTTTCACATTAATAGAGCTAAAATGATTATCAGTCATTCCACTCAAAGTGTATCTGCAAAAAATATTTATGATTAATTGTTTACTCACAATTTAATGAAAAAAAATTGTTTCTAAATTTGTGAAATACATCTGCTACTTTTTTGCCTTCTGTGATAGTAAATTTAAAATGTTGAAGTCCTGGCAGTTTTTTTGGACAAAGCAAACAATTGGGTCAATTGTGCAGTATTTTCTGGAACAAACAATTAATTAATTAATTGATTGTGAAGATAATCAGCAGATTGAGCAATAATGAGAAGAGTTGTTGCTGCATTCTAAGATAGAAAAAAATAACCTTGAGAGTTCGTGTAGTTCTTCATTAAGGGTAAAGTAACTAGTGGTGAAATTACCTGTATTGCTTTACATGCGAGGACAATGTACTGAGGGTCTTTGAGCAGGAGGGGGCACTAAAGTCTTAAGGTGGAAATCCTCCAGTGGCTTAATTGGGTACGGTAACTGGAAATGATCTTTTCTATTTTCGTAATTTATAACAGATGTCATGTTGACTTGAAATGTAAAAACCTGAATCGTCGCTTTCTTGTTAAAAACTCTTTGTGTGAGCGTCGTAATCTCGCAATAAAACCAAGGTACCCTAAAACTAAATCCCCATAATGATCCACCATATCAAGACAAAAATCTTACACTTGCATGTTAGTTATTCAGACATGACATTCATCTCCCATTTATGAATTCAGTGGTACAAACCATGACTCCTTCTATTTCATGTTATGAATACTATATCCTCATATAATGCACTTTATTTCCTGTATGCATCTCATCACGGCTGCATCCCCTCCCATTAGCATCATCATCAACATAAGACGCATAAAGAGCCAGGATGAAATAAATCAGCCATAGGACTTTATTCTCTTCACACAGTGCATTTCCTTAAAACACAATATATAATTTAATATCAATATAAAACTCCATTTGTGTATATAAATTATGCATTCAATACAGCAGCTCTGATATATACTATTAAGCTTTGGTACAGTGGTACATTTATATATGTGAGTGGGTGTATGTGTGTGTACATGCTTGTGTGTGTGTGAACGATGTGCCCTGTGGGCATCATCTGGAAGAAGGCGGGTGTAGGCGAGTATGGAGAGGAGGGGAGTGAAAAAGAAGGTGTTTGTGTTAAGTATGTGTGATGGGTTCACGCAGGAACCAAAGTATCATCACTCCATCCGTCGAGGCATCATCAGTACTGTGCGCTCCAGGCTGGAGCGCTGAGGTTGGTGCAGCTGGGAGGGTGGCAGCTGCTGTGGTGGGAGGGTGAGGGTACCACGCAGCAGTAACCTGCCTCCCCACCTACCCCAGTCACAACTTTACTTTGGGGATAGGACATTGAAACACCTCCCTGCAGAGGAGAGAGAAAAGAGAGAAAGTTGGAGCGAAGAATTTGCAAGAAGCAAAGTAGAAGTTTCTGGCACAACTTCACCTACTTCTAAGGCTCATGGAGAAAGGAAAAAATCTAAAGAGGTCAAAGCTCCTGCAACACTTGCAGTATAAAGAACAACTTTATTGTTAGACCGACACATTTCAGCAACAATTTGCTACCTGAAGCACTTTGCGAACCGCTAAACGCTTCTTTTGGAGGCTGAGATGTTCAACGCAGAACGGGATCTTTGGGCCTTCTCTGCTTACCTGAACCATGCTACACTGATGAGAGGCCATTGGTGAGTAGGTCCCCAACACAGCCTGCGCCTGGTTGAGGGAAGGCTGCTGCACCCCCACGGTAGGAGCGTAACCTGCTGCAAACACACGTGTATATAAAAGATTATTAACAATTATTATCACTGCAATTTGTTTGACAAAGTGTAAGAAAAAAGCCACAA